TGGTAAAGTAGCTCCTGGATGGGGAATGACTCCTTTGATGGGTGTTGCAATGGCTCTATTTGCGGTATTTCTATCTATTATTTTGAAGATTTATAATTCTTCCGTTTTATTGGATGGAATTTCAATGAATTAGATCCACAAGAACTCCGAAGCCCTGGCTTTTCAATACAAAAGAAATCATTTAGAGCTCGGATTTCTAATCCATTTTATTTTGGTAGTTCAACCGCGGAATTTCTTTGTTTCTGTATTTCCGGAATATGAGTATGTGACTTGCTATAATTGATCCTATTGATAGTACAGAGAATGGGTCTGTCATCTTGATAGAGATGGTTCTGCTTCGTCAGATATTTATTATAGTATCTGGAACACGGAATATATGAAATAGATTAAGAAATATTTGAACTATGATTCATACTTAATATTCAGACCTCGTGACCGGACTTAAAAAAAATTTCAAAGAATTATAATTTATAAATCGAAAGATTTTTATTCTTTTAAACTACTGTTTATGCTTATTTTGACCAAAAGACAAATGTTTCTTTGGATTTTTAGTCATTATATCTATTCATGTAATAAGTGATGATCCAATGGTTCTTACTCAGGGAATCCTTGGGATTAGTTTAGGGTTTTTATTGAATCATCGTGGTTCTAGTATGAATCTGAAGTTTTAATCGATTCATAGGGTCTTAACAAGAGAATTCCTATCAATAATAAAGAAAACAAGAGTAAAGCCACATTACACACAAAAACAAAAAAAATAGGAAAAGAGAAGATTCAAGAGGCCCATAAGGATCAAGATAACGACGATTGAGCCAACTTGATATTTTGGCATCATCACCACAAAGAAGAGCTTTCTTATTTTTTTATTCTTTCGAATCTTCAGAAAAGATGAAATCAGATATTAAGAAATTTCAAACTTCCTATTACATATGCGGTGCAACTATTATTTTGGTGTTTCTGCTTGAGCTGTACGAGGCAAAATTATCATATACGGTTCTCGGAGGGGGAATCCCACCTATCTCAATAAAGTCTATGATTGGTTCGAAGAGCGCCTCGAGATTCAGGCGATTGCAGATGATATAACTAGTAAATTCGTTCCTCCCCATGTCAACATATTTTATTGTTTAGGAGGAATTACGCTTACTTGTTTTTTAGTATAAGTAGCTACGGGGTTTGCTATGACTTTTTATTATCGTCCGACCGTTACTAAAGCTTTTGCCTCGGTTCAATACATAATGACTGAAGCTAATTTTGGTTGGTTAATCCAATCAGTTCATCGATGGTCGGCAAGTATGATGGTCCTAATGATGATCCTGCATGTATTTCGTGTGTATCTCACCGGTGGATTTAAAAAACCTCGCAAATGGACTTGGGTTATGGGCGTGGTTCTGGCCGTATTGACTGCATCTTTTGGCGTAACTGGTTATTCCTTACCTTGGGAACAAATTGGTTATTGGGCAGTAAAAATTGTAACGGGTGTGCCTGAAGCGATTCCTGTAATAGGATCGCCTTTGGTAGAATTATTGCGGGGAAGTGCTAGTGTGGGACAATCCACCTTGACTCGTTTTTATAGTTTACACACTTATGTTAATGCACTTCCTAATGATACGTAAACAGGGTATTTCCGTTCCTTTATAGAGAATATATATCATAAATATTTGTCATCAATCATTTAGGGGAGAAACAATAGTATTTCATTGCCACAAGTATGTATTATTGAAAAGAATAAGACATATATTTGGATATTTCCCTTCAACTCCGCAATATTGTATTAGTTATTTGACATGAATAGTTGAAGGGAATCCCCCGACGAGAAAATGGATTATGGGAGTGTGTGACTTGAACTATTAATTTCGTCTGTGCAGATATATGCCTTTATCTATCTGCCACATTAGAATTCATAACCAAATGTGTCTTTGTTCCAACCGCCGTGTAAGCCCCGTACAGAGGATAGGCTGGTTCGCTTGAAGAGAATCTTTTTCTATGATCAGGTCCAACTCATGTCGTACATGAGTAGGCTCCGTAAGATCCAGTGGGATTGGTATCCATATCTAGGAATAAGTACCGCAGGAATTAGTTCTTTACTAGCCAGGGGCTTGGAACGAAGGGTAAAGTCCAGAAGACCCGCCTTGTCGGATCGTTTGAACCCGGGGAGATCTCTATCAAATAAAGGATTTCAGAGCTAGCTTAAATAATATAAAAAAGGAAAATAATATCGGATCGTGTGATGATCTGATAAAAGAAATTAAACAGATATGCCATCAAAATTGAAAATAACAACTTTCTCCACTTCTAACTGAGATGACGGTGGAGTTGAAAACTCGGAATTTCAAAACTAGATTTTGTTTTCTATTCATCCCCATTCCAGCAATTAATCAGAGTGCACCATGAAATTAACACTTGGTGAATGATTAAATTGGGATACAGACTGTGTCACGGTAAGCAAATTACAATTGCCAAGAACTACCATTGTTAGTCCAAAAGGTTAATTATCCATTAATTTAATTGCCAATTGCAAGGCAAAGGGCAACAAAAAGTAAAATGATATATACAACAACTGCAAAAACAGAAAATTTTAAAAGTTCTAAATCGTCAAGTAAAAGCATCAATTTAAGTCAGGGAGAACCATGTAAGAATTGTTGCATTAATCACACACAAAAATGATTCAAGGCATTATGAGTTCAAAATCAACCACCGCCAAAAAAGCACCCACAAATTTGTTGCCAATCATTCATCATCTGAATAATCGAACTTTACTGAATGGGATTGCAGATCAATCTGCCCTCCTCTGTAGCTACCACACTGCTTCTTGGTCTTTTCATGACGGAGGTCCCTGGAAAGGAAAGGAAAGGAAACAAAGAGAACTCGAGTTCAATTAAAATGCAAAACCAATTGTGATTATGATGGATGCAGTACATGAACGAATATCACATTGAGACCAGATCACTGTGGCAGTTGGATAATAAAATAAACTATGTGGTAGGATGGTAAAGAGCTTACTTGGAACACTCAGTTGGAGCATGATGAACTATATTACACGGACTCTTCTGATAGCCTAATCAGTGGAGATGCTTGTCCAAAAACGTCAAATTCATATTTTCAAAGAGTTATATCATTTGATGCGTCAGGACCCTTACCCATAGTGTAATGTTGAAACAAGTATTTTAGGGTGAAGAAAAAGGTCCAAATAACATAAACATAAGGTGTTCAAATGAAAGATCCATGATCTTTTTAACCAACTTATGAGCATCATCGCACATATGTTCTATCATTGCAAACTTGTAAAGATTTAAATTGACCATGTTAAAGGACAGAGCACAGGACGTTCCTATTTACATAGGCTCCATGGCTCTTGCAGTTTTTATGCTGCTTTACAAGAATCCCTTTCCTTAACAAAGTGCGTCACATTTCATTCATGTTATGTATATAAAAATCACAAAGGTGCTACTTCCAATTATCATGTCTGAACATACTATATTATTTTTTAGAACCTTTACTTGGAAAGGTCAAGGTAGGTTTTCTACTTTTCCTTGAGGGTTGGCAGAGTATTTAGGTGTAGTAGATAGATGATCCTTTATAAGTAGCTTCTGAGTCATATGTAAAATAAAAAAGAATAATAATCCATGGGCCTACAAGTAATATTCTTTATAATCAATGATCGTAAAATTTGAATTGTAATCTAGGAGGGAAACATGCAACCTCGGATATGTAGAAAAACACGCCCACATGGTTATATTGATAAGCCACACATCTATGTAGAACATAGGGACTTGAACCAACACACTCTGAGAGTTGCAGGAGAGACCTCCCAAGCTAATAGCTTGTGGTAATATGTATTCTCGCAAATTAGATAGATATGTCACTTACTTTGTTATTTAGACACACATTTACACTGCACTTTATTTATTCTCACATTTGTGATGTTAACTGACAAAATTGATTCAATCAGATTGAATAGCCAGTGGAGCTGCGATAAACCGACCACCATCGGAACCTAGAATTTCTGGTTCAATTATAAAAAAATTTAGATGTGCAGTTAAAATTCCAACATAACGTCATTGTAATGCGTGTCCAGAACCTGATCTTCATGAGCTTGATTTCGGAGTATCAACCTAATATTATTTTTTAAAATTTTTTGCCAAAAAACCTAACAAGAGATGAACAATGATGATACTAAGGCCTTTTTTTTTTCTTGATTGAATCACGCACAAATTAGAATCATCCCCTAGATGTCAGCAGCAAGAATCTTAAAATATCCTAGCAGAAGTGAAAGCATTATTAAGAGGCCAAGAATGGCAAGGGGGCCCAAGAGTCATTAGTCTGTTAAACTAGGCAATTGAGGTTTGTAAAGTATTGGTTTACCCACTGGCTTGTCTTTAGCCTACTTCAGAGGGATGCATTTTGGCAGCTAGTGCTGCCGTGGGGTGAACTTATGGGAAATGATTTTCACTTTACGTCCCTTTCAGTTTTCCAGGTTAGGGCTAGGATGGTATTTTGTGTTGGTTATAAAAACTCAATCAATATCATTTTTTTTTCTTTACTTGGGAGGAGACTTCACTTCCTTCTGCACCTATTCTTTCTTACTAGTCTTTCCTTGTTAAAAAATAATAAAAGCTTATGTCATATAACTAGTAGCAAACATACTTTCCTCTAACCTGCCCAAGAACTTCCCGTGCTTTTTACCATAGCCAAGTATTTTGACATAAGGTACTAAAAACACGAGGCAAATAGAACAGCAGATAAATATTTTAAAAAATAAAATGAAGCAAAAATAAGAAGAAAATCATCGCACCTTGGCCCAGTAAGAATTATTTTGAAGCCTGTCATCAGGAAATTCAACCTCATCGACTTTCACTCTTTGAAATGCATTCACTGTCTTTGGCTGTAAAATCAGCATCGATCAAATATAAATTTACAATGGAACATCAATTGTTTGGAAAAAAAAGAAAAAGAAGAGAAAAGAAAAGAAAACTATGATGTGGATTGAAATAATAAACAAAAGAACAACAAAGAAAAGGACAGTGCGTGCACACACTCACAAAAATAAATAAATAAATTAACAATAAAATGCAAGATAAGAAAACCAAAGAACAACTAATAAATCATTGAAATAAAGGGCTCACATTTAAAAAAAAAAAAAAAGAAAAAAAAAAGAAAAAGAAGTTCTTTTAGGACATCTACTGTCATCAATACCTTCCCCTCACCACCACCACCACCCCACACAAAAATCCCAGGGGAAAAATGATATAAATATACAAGTAAGAGGAGATCACATGGCTGTCTAACATCACTAAATATAGAACTGTTGGCATATTTAACCAGACAACACCATCCATGGATAGCCCCACTCCAATTTATTTTCAAGGTAAATGTATTACGTGTCACATTATTTCAAAGGACAATTTCATGCAAATCAAGAAACAAGTAAAAGATTTACAACATTGTACCTCAGCTGATCCAATAAGTTCTTTCCTCATGGTTTTCTGCAAGGCAAATTTCTCTTCCCCATTCTCCTCAAGCTTCCCATTTGCATGCTTATCAAAGCTGCTTTGTACAAGCCTTCTTCAAGTCAGCATGACCAACTTGGTCATTTTACCCTTTACTTTCTTCGTAAGCATGCCCATCACCTCCTGGGATTGCATTCACCTTTATCATTTGCTCATTACTCTTCGTTTCTTCCAATCTTTAAGTTTTTCTGCGCTTGGAGTCTTCAGTTGCTACATCCGCAACAGGCTGAAGCTCATTTTAGTCAGAAGCTAATCTTTTTCTTTTCTTGGAATGTTTTTTTTTCTTTGTTGGCTGCATCCTCTCTTTCTAGAATCATTAATTATTGGATTTCTTTGTCAACCACTTCCACTAGCTCTTGAGGTAACCCTTCAGAGACTGAACCATCTTTCTTTCTCTTCCTAACTTTAATTTTTTACTTTTCCCCCCTAAATTCCCCAATGCAGAATCATCAACAAGCTTCTTTGCCATCGCTCCTTGCTTATCCTCCAAGCCTGGTTCCTCAACATTTTCAGCATGACAAATAACATTTAGCTTCTTTTTATTTTTCTTCTTATCTCTAGATTTAACTTTTGACTCAGAATCAATTATAGTGTCACCTTTTGAAGATACAAAATCCATCACCCCTGGCAATGAATCTAATTTTTCATGCTCTACATTACCATCAAGTAATCCAGAAACTAAAATACTATCATAAAATCTATGAGCGTGTGTGATGATCTGATAGTACAAATTAAACAGTTTAGCCATCAAGATCAAAAATAACAACTTTAAAGCGAGCTGTTGTCAATCTACAGAGGTTAACAGTACCAATAAATCTTTGTCAATAACAATCTTAACAAGTCATAAAGTTAACTATAAGTAGGCGAAAGCCAAGCCATTTGACCCATCTGCCGTACCCGTGATAGAGAAGAAATGATACGAATCAAACAGAAAAAGAGAATTACTGTGCGCTTCAAGCCAGGGGAAATAATATCCTACTACTATATTTTGCAAAATAGACTGTTTTTAAGATATCTTTTCAGGTAATCAGCTTTGTTCCAATATTAACAGTTCCATAGGCTTCACATAAGAACCAAAGGTTGTAGCCTAGTAGTACCTCCTCGCCTTCCAAAGGAGAAGGTCGAGGGTTCAAGTCTCCATAGGGCAAGTGGGGGTGTGTGTGTTTCTTGCCAAGGTAAAAAAAAAAAAAAAAAGGCTTCACATAAGATGGGGCCAAAATTAGGTTGGAACCTCCCACGTTTGGCTCTCTTCATAAAAGATGTGCCATTAGCTTAAGCCAATTTCTTTTTTTTTTTTTTTTTTTTTAATATTACATAGCACTTCAGGACACTGACATGATAAGACTTGGCCATTAGCTTCAGTGATTCATGGGAGTTAAACTCATTTCCTTATTTTTCACAAATAATTTCTAAAACCTAATATGGAACAAATCCTAAAATATTTCCTTGCTTATCACAATTAGCATAAAGATAAAAACTTGAAGATATGCCAAAATGCCATAAATAGCTGTAAGAGCAATTAAAAATCAAGTACATAATCCCTTAAAAAATACCAGAACAGAGGCTTAAGATCAAATCATAGTCTTTGCAAAATAAAGCAAAAATATCAAATCATAAAAATAAGCTTCTTCTGCACATTAGACTAATCTTGTACTACATATAGAAATAATAATATGGTGGATAGGCCTACAATTAAAAGGTAATGATTACTTCAATAGAACTTCAAGCCAAGAACACTTCACTGTAATGCGGTGGATAACAACTTATTCATTTCCTAAAATTAGCAGCACTGCATTTTCTGCCCACAGGACAGATTAAGTTGGCACTTTATAAACTTAACTACAGATGGGAAGATAATCTCATTGCATACCAAGAACAGAAGTTCAAACCAATGGTAATATCACCAATAATCACCACATGAGCATTTGCCATCCTTGAAATGATGAAACCGTTTGTTGTCCCTGACAATCAACTCCCTCCCAACAATCTTGGACATGATCTTAATTGCGTTATGACAATCACCGCAAACACGGAGATTCTTGATGATTCTCAGTGGTATCCTTGCTGGAGTACTAATTAGACCATATGCAATTGCCAAGCGTTCACTGTGATAAAGCAAGGCCTGCTCTTTGGCCTCTTGATCAATGTCATGAAGAACATATCTCGTGTCAGGCACATAACCTTGTTCTTTCATCGCTGCCTTCAACTTTTCATCATCCTTGTAAAGAGTAGGGTTTCGTAGCTCACCTAGCCTGTTTTTACCCTCAAGCATATTGATAGCGGACTGTTTCTTGGGTGGTGGGGTAGGGATCTTATTGGCCACGGCCTTTGAAGGGTCAAGAGCAACCAATAACTCTTCTGCATGGTCTTCAAGATCAATATCACCATGAATTCGAGCATAATTCCTCAATGCCTCCCAAATTGCTGCAGTGGGTTCAAATGGTAGATTCTCAATAAATTCCTCAGCCTCAGTGAGATGGCCAGATTTTCCAAGAACAGCTAAAAGCTCCAAATAATGCTCTATCCCAGGAGCAATTCCATATTCAGTCTTCATTGACCCAAAATGTATAAACCCTTCTTCTATAGCTTCAGCACTAGCACAGGCAGATAAAACAGCAAGAAAAGTTTGTTCATTTGGTTGCAATCCTAACTCCCTCATCTGTTCATACAACCCCAACCCATCATCGCCCAATGCATTCGCTGCATACCCATAAATCATCAGATGCCAAGAATCTATGTTCCTGTCAGGCATATGATCAAACACTCTCCGTGCATCCGTCATACTTCCACACTCTGAATACATCTCAATCACCATATTATTCATTTGAAGATCGCCCCTATATGCAGACTGTAAGAAGTAATCATGCACTTTCTTTGCATCCTCCAGTTTTTTTGAATTAGCACACAAATCAAACAAGGCATGGAAACACTGAGCATCAGCACGGACCCCTTGGTCCATCAATTCAAGAGCTTCCTTGACCTTCCCCTCTCGGCACAAACTCATGAAATCAACGTTACCCGGTGGAACACTGGGGGCTTGATTATTCACAACCTGCCCCTGATTCTGAGTCTTATTGTTAAACTGGTTAGTGCTTCCCCGATGATGATTCTGTTCTTGTGGGTTCTGATTGTTCATCTGGTTAGGGTTTACAGGTTGTGGGTGTCCCTGGTTCTGATTCACACCTTGGCGATACCAACTTTGGTTAAAGTTTTGCCGTTGCGGGTACCCCTTATTTTGATTATTCCACTGATTCAACTCTTCCCGCTGCTGATAATTGTGACTCGAATTAGGGCTGTCTTGTTTTGTGTAGCCACGATCTTGATTGTTCCACTCATTAGCGTTCCCGGGTGGTGAATAATTAAGATTCTGACGCTGAGGGTAGTTCTGGTTCCCATTACTCCATTGACTAGGGTTTCCTTGTTGGGGATGGGGATGGGGATGGTGAAAGGGATGGTTCATGTCCGGTGAACCCCACTGGTCCGGATTACTCTGATCTTGAGGAAAAGCCCTAGGAGGATTGGACGGTTCTAGGGGTCTCTGGAATTCGTTTGGGATTGCGGAAGTGCTTAGACATTTGAATGAGAGATTGAGAAGAGGAGTGGAAGGTGAGAGCTTCAGGGGGGTAAGGGCTTGGTGGTTGTGATTGAAGATGAACTGAAATGAAGAAGAAGGAGAGCAAAAAGAAGAGTTGAGAGAACGTACCCTGAATGAAGAAGCAAAACTGGAGTTTCGAGCCCTACGAATCACCATAAGAGACGCCATTTCTCTGCAAAATGAAATTTGGAAACAAAACCCTAATGATAAACCCTAATAAGAAGTGTGAGCAGACTCTCGATAGTCTGTGGCTTGCTTTGAAGAAATGGAAGTTTTCAGATCAGCTTGTCCCAAAGTACATAAATGATGGAGTAGTGGGCTTATGGGCCTAGATTACTTATTTAAGGCCTGCTTAAATAGTTGGGTTTTATGTTGACGCACATTAATTTGTCAAAGTCAGTAGCGGGCTTCAAAATTTCATGAAAATGTAAATGGGCTCTTTATATTTTTGATTTCATGAAAATTTAAGGGCTTATTTTTCTAAGAATTGTGTGTGTGTGTTTATTTTTTAATTAATTTATTTATTTATTATTATTTTTTTGAGAATTGTTTTTACAAAGGAAAATTATATGAAAATGAGACTAATCTTTGAGTATAATTGAAGATGCCTCGATAGTCCAGTGGTTTAATACCTTGGTAGATTTTGGAGTGACAAGCTTCGACTAGTTGTATCTACTAATATAACTTATAACCTTTTTGCCTTTTAAAAAAAAAAAAAAAAAAAAAAAACACATTTGAGTATAGTATATCGTAGCAAACCATATCCCTCCATGATTCCGTATATAAATAATTTTGAGAATAATTTTGCCCCTCTCTCTCTCACACACACAGTAGCTTTGAGTGAGTTGTAATTTTGTAACTAGGTAAGTAATGCAACAATAAATATCATTTGGTGATGTATGTGATACATTTATTCTTTGATGCCTCCAATAGAAGTGTTGGGATTGGATATATATATATATATATATATATATATATATATTAACCTTCATGCCAAGAGTTCAAGGATTCATAATTAATTATCAAACAAAAATCCATAATAATTATAAAAGTGAGATAATATTATAACATGCAGCAAGTATTATGTATGGAGTGGCGCCCATAGCTCTGTAGTTTTTTAAAAAAAAAATTTAGACAGCAGTTGGTCAGATTATGCATTGATGATTGATGACCACCACTACAAGAAACTATAACAAATCTAATATTGGATTCTTTTGTCTCTAGTTTAGTTTACTAATTTAATTACAAATTGTATATATACTTTTTAAAAATTCAAATAAATTCACGAACATCCACAATATTACTTCTAATAGAACTCCAACACTTCTGTTTCGTTTTGGAAGTGAGAGATTATATAATCAGGAGCAGATGCGCATTGATCTTTGATCACATATATTATTTAAGTAATTACGTGAAAATTACAAGTAGGATTCGGATTAGAAGTAGGACAATTTAATCGGACAGAGTATCATTACTCATTAGAGAGAGTCTATAAGTCAAGTGCATGGTTTAGATTGATACTTAATTAGGCCATGATTTTGCCTCTAATTAGGGAAGACTTGTAGAAAATGAGATGAAATATAAAGTATAGTGTCTTAATTAATGTAGGATTTAATTATTTTATCATATAGTCTTAATTAATTAATGTATAGGAGGATTGGTAAAGTTAAAAGCATCCAAATTAAGAAAATAAAGGTTCTCTTGATCTGACATTGCAAAATGTGCCTCTAAGATAAATAAATAAATAAATATTAGTAACATGAAATAGGGTTGTTAAATTAAATGAGAGAATAGAAACAAAATCTGGTCACAAGATGGGAGACCAGAAAGGAGACAATGTCATTAGACCAAGCTTTGCTCCACTAATGTATGGAGCTTTGACCATTCTCTTCGAAAGCAATCTTCAAAGTTCAGAGCTGTATTTTGGGAGATGGACACGTGTCAAAAACCCATTTGGCGATCTGCAAAAAAATTCTACTGAGAAGAGGATAAACCATGTGAGGGTCAGTAGTGTCATCCAAGTAACAGCATATTATTAGTCAATTCAACACTTAAAAACTATCCTTAAAATTGTTATGTCGGTACAACTTTTAAGCTCATTTCATTTGTCTATTGTATAGTTTATTGACAATAAGATATGCTATAGTCCACATAATTTTACTGGTAGGTCTTTTTCAATAAACGGAATTTGGGTTGAAGTGTAACCCTAACATCGAGAAAAATGCAAATTTGATAAATGGGACATAACAATTTTTTAAAATTTTTTTTTCTCAAATTGTAAATGGGAGGTTAGATATATCACATAGGTAACTACTGATAGCTAAAAGTAAAGATGTTTGGGGTAGGCTTTATTTAGACAGGAGATCTCCAGAGGCTCAACTTTTTTTGATAAACTTGTGGCTCTGTCCCTGACGGAGCCAGGACTTAGGTTCTGGAATTGGACCAAGTAGAAATAGAATGAGGTGACAATTAATGATTGAAGTAATTACCGAAGAGACGATAAGAGTTTTTATTGCCCTTTAATTATTGGAGTAATTACAAAAATCGATCAATTTTTATAGCACTACTTGTTGAGATAATTTGATTGATCTCATGCAAAGAAATGCCAACTTCATTTGTGTACATTGTAGTAATTAATGAAATGTTGTTTTTGTATAATCTTAGTGGCTCTTTTATGTAACAACAACAAAACTAGTCTTGAAAATGGCAATTCCATTTCAGTTTTGACCCAATTATAATTGTGGAATCAAAGATTTTTTGAGGTTGCCTTCCAAACTTTTTGTGGGAGGTCTTATGACAGCTATACAAGTCGCCTTTTCACCATTGGAACTCTCTCTCTCTCTAGACTCTCTCTCTCTCTATATTTATACACACACACATATACATGTGCATGTATTTATATATAAACAGCCTTTTGCATGTGAGCCCTCTGCAACTATCATGCACGATAGAGGAGTTCTACAAATATGTTTTAAATTGTAACAGCCAGATTTAACTTGTACAAATTAATGTCTCTTGGGCAACCAAATGGAATTTTCATGGTTAATCAATTGTACTCTCAAAATTCCCTTCACTTGAAATTAATGTGGGACTATCTAATATGGTCCTTATCTTAAAATGAAACTAAAAAGTCACATTTTGATTGTCCCAAAAAAATCTATAGTTTTGTACTTGGTACATTTTTAACCTCTTTTTGATACAATGTCCAATATAAACTATATAGTACTTTGCACATGGGGAGAGAGAACCAAAGAACTCAGGATTCCCTCAAATCTCATGCGCTAATTATTCATTATAGTTTATGTATGTGGATGAGGGTCGTCGCAACGATAAGAATTAATCCATTGTATTTAGAGGTTATGAGTTAAATTAAAAAACGGTCTCTTCGTGCAAAAGTAAGACTACATATGAGAGTCGGCTTTAGGCCTAGACAGTCCCCTAAGTTCTTTAATTTAAATGGGTCTTAAATTTAGGATATGGACCAATTTAAAAGAGTCTTAAATTTAAAAATTCCTCTAAAACCTTTTAAAATTTTGGAAATCTCGAGGTCCGGTCTACTACGTACACCTGCCACTTATTTTCTCTCTTTAGTTCCCATTGAACTCTGACTTGTCCATATGTATTGAAAGTTAAGTACTTCAAGTTGGAGAGGAATCTGTTACTTGTAAGTACCATATTCTATTACATTATAAAGACAAACTTTGTTCAAAAAGACCCAGTCACAAAACAACAAAAAATCTTACAGCAGCTTGCCAAACATAGGCTAAGAGAAAGAAGAGCACATGTATGACTGGCATAACATTCACGATTAGATTCAAAAAAGCATAGGACTCGGGCAATTTGGCGATGAAAAAACTACTTGAATAAAGGGCAGAATTAAGACAGATACAGATCAAACTAAAGATATTAAGCATAACAGACATTTTGTTCTTGGAGATAATTGCATTTTGCTTGAGTTATTGATATAAAGAAAAATAAAGTAAAAAAAGGTAGACCAAAAAATCTTTCTTTTTCTTTGAACTCACCCAATAAAAAATCCTCTATTTCTCAAAGGAGAATAGAAGAAATCATACTTTCATACAATATCTTAATTGAATTATATGTAATGATCAATAAATTCAATTTAATTCTATATCTACACGTGTTAAAATCCTAGCAACAATCTAATTTATTTTAGAAATACTTGGGCTAGAATAGACGAACAATCAATACCAATATTAGTCTTTATTAGTGTCGAATATAAATCGAAACGGGGTGTGGCCAAGTGGTAAGGCAACGGGTTTTGGTCCCGCTATTCGGAGGTTCGAATCCTTCCATCCCAGAGCATATCCATTCTATCATCGTTGGCTGGAATCGAAATATCCGCGAGATCCGGGTCACAATTTGTATCGATTAAACAAATTGTTGGAATTCCCAAAGTGATACATTCTCGAAGGGCCGTATATTCTTCGTGCTGATCAACAATGATTACAATATCGGGTACCCCCGTCATATATTTAATCCCGCCCAGATACGTTTGCAAGTGAGATAATTGTCTTTTCAACATAGCGGCATCCTTTTTCGGAAGACGGTTGAGTTTCCCCGTTTTTTGTTCCGTTCTCAAGTCCCTGAACTTATGAAGTCTCGTTTCTGTAGTGGCCCAATTTGTTAACATACCACCGAGCCATTTTTTATTAACATAATGACACCGAGCCTTTAGCGCAGCCCGTGCTACTGAATCAACTGCGTTAGTTTTGGTACCAACAATTAAGAATTGTTTTCCCTTACTTGCTGCATCAAAAACCAAATCACAAGCTTCTGATAAAAAACGAGCAGTTCTAGTAAGATTTGTAATATGAATACCTTTACGCTTGGCAGAGATATAAGGTGCCATTCTAGGATTCCATTTTCTAGTACCATGGCCAAAATGAACTCCCGACTCCATCATCTCTTCCAAATTGATGTTCCAATATCTTCTTGTCATTTTTCCTCACACTTCCTCCTTTTTTTTTTCAAAAAAAAGAGACGAGGTATCCTGAAATAAATAATTGTTCCGATGGAACCTTCTCTTCTACCGTAGATTGTCCGTCGATACACGATCCAAGCCGTTATTCTTTTCTATTCGTTATTAGCTTTATTACTATTACCAAATCAAATGACCGGACCAAATACAGATAGTTAAGGTTCAAAGAATGCGTCCGTTCTTAGTAGGAATCATTAAATCCTATAAATGATTGTTCTGATGTATCATGGAAATTTTTTGAAAGGCAAGAAACAAATAACTTTTGGTGGTGGAACAAAATATCTCTCATTTTCCCCTCGAATAGACTCTTCTTTTTTGTTTCCAAGGGAATGTTGTTATGTTGCCTTGAGGGGTGCACTAATCCTTTGAATCCGGTACCTACGGGTATCCTCCCCCCATAACAACGTTTTCTTTCAGGCCTTTCAACCAATCGATACGACCCCGTAGAGCGGCTTTTGCTAAAACTCGAGCAGTTTCTTGAAAACTTGCTTCAGATATGAAACTTTGAGTATTCAGAGATGCTCTTGTTATTCCTAACAAGATGGCTTGGTAACAGATCGCTTCTTCCAAAGCATGCCCCATACGTTCCGCTCGCAACAATCCAATTAGTTCTCCGGGTGAAAAAACATTAGACATTCCATCTTCTGAAACCAAAACTTTTGATGTTATTTGACGTACAATAATTTCTATGTGCCTATTATGGATCTGCACCCCCTGGGATCGATAAACCCTTTGGATCTTATTAACCAAAGAGATACGACTTTGCGCTATAGTTAGCTCAGCACCAATCAAGAATCCCCAAGGAATTCCAAGAATTCTTGTTATACATTCGTTCCAACCCTTAACCCTCTTTTCTAGATTCATCGATATTGAATCAATCGAACGTACTTCTAACACCTGTTCTACTTTTGGAAGACCCTACGTTATATCACCAGATCTCGATTTTTCATATATAAATGTAACTAGTGTATCTCCTTCGTAAAGGGTTTCACCATAATGGCCATGAACAGTTGCTTCTGGGGTAGCCAAAAAAGGCTTAGCTAATCGTATTACTAATGAGTCAATTTGAACAATTAGAACTTGACCCGGTTTTAGGTGTGGTCCGTTTTTGGCTATACATACATTTTCGCAAATAAACTGTCCAAGACTAATTATTGTAGATGTCTCTTCACAATAATTTTGATGGAGAAAATACCAATTCAAATTTAATGGATTCAAAAAGATATTACTGCAGGGATCGGGATTATAAATTTTCCCATTTTCATCCATTAAATAATATTTAAGTACTTGAAAAGCCTGTTTTAAATTGTCAAGTTGCAAATAGTTAGTTACCAAGAGTTGATTATGAGTTATTAAATTTAAATGGTAAAATGAATCAAAATTATAAATTGGAAAAGTTGTTCCTAAAGGACCCAACAAATTCCTAATTCGAATTAGATGATCTTTTTTTATTGATTCTTTTATCACATTGTGATATTTACATCGTTGAATGGACCCATTTGAGAACAATTGGTTGATGACAAAATTATCAAAGATTGGCATTCTTTATTTCTATTCAACAACATATGGATAGTTCCTTGATTTTGGTTAAGGGATTGTTGAATCTTTGCCTTGGAATAAATGGAAGAAAACAGATTGATATTGATGCGATCTGATCTATTTTCAGAGATCAATCCTAAACCTGATGGATCATTCTTTTTGCTGGTATACGAAATAGGGGACTTCACTAAGTCGATTCTTAGGAAATCTTGAATCAAACCATTTGTCCTTCTTTCAACAAAAGAAGCATGGGCCTCGTCGATATAAGAACTTTTTTTGTCTTGGCCCCAATTCAACACTAAACAAGTCCAAACTAATTGAATACTTGTGTCAGGAATCCCCGAATTGGTTTACCATTTCCATAAAGGATATAATTGACAACTCGAAGTTGCATATTATCCCTTTCCTGCACCAGATTCGGGGGGAAAAGTGTTGCTAAATTTATACCGTCTGTTATTTCAAATGCAACTACAGGTCGAACCAAAACACAATATTTTTTCTTGGTAGGTGTGATCCGTTGGCAATAGATCCAATTTTTCAATTTTTTTGATTTCGTGGAATTTTTTTTTTCCCGTTCCTGGTGGTATCAAGATGCCGCTGTGTCGGGATATCTTATCTGTCTCTCCCGGAAAATGGATATCTCTAGAAAAGATTTTAAGTTCAATTCCTTTTTTTTTTTTTCTCTCCACTCGCACCAACCCGCCTACTCGGCTTCTTGTATTGAAAGCGATTTGTGTATCTACCCCAATGAGACTATTATTTCGTACCATTAGAAAGAAGATCCGGGTAAGATATGCACTTCCTCGGGAATGAAAAAAAATCAATTTACTTTCATTTGGTATTTTGGCCTAAATTCCTTGACTCCCCGATACTCAATCAAATCTTCTTTTTTGACGATTGAATGCACTTCTCTAGTTCCATATTTAGTAATTCCCGAACTTTTTCTTCTGTATCAAGGATCATCGAAATAAGCAAGAATACTATTTTTACGAAAAATGCCATTTATGGGTATTTCAATCGAGATATCTGAACGGGGAATTCGTTTTTTCTTGCGTTCCTGAATCGATTGGAGTGGAATGATGAATCTATTTCTTCGCCTCTTTGCCAATAAATCCGAATTCTCGTGGAAAATGGCAGGATATGTGAGATTACAATGACCAGTACATATGATTCGATTACGTTCTGAATAATCAGGAATTCTATCTTGTTATTTACCAAAAAAATCCGAACTAAAGAATATGTGTCTCGCTTGATCATTAGTCACTGAGAGGTTAGAAATATATCTTCGCTTGACAGAAAGAGAATGGGCGTTCATTTAATCTTGATCCTTGTGGAGCGAAAGGGAGGCTAGACTGGACCTTCATGGCCTCCTAGATAATATCCATAAATGACTTGTTTTTGGTAAGGGCTGAACATTACCATATGTAAATTCAGGTGCATGATACACATCGGTACTCCAGTGCATTTCTCCCTCTGAGTTAGAATAAATATGTTTTCGAACCCTCTCTTTAAAATTCAAAATGGATGTTCCTGCGCGAATCTCAGCAATCACTTGTTCTGATTCTACATATTGATCATTTTGAACTAAAAGAAAACTTTGGGGTGGAATATTCACATTATGTATAATATCTTCACTCTCAATAGTTACATACAAGTCTATAGAACATAGAAAAGCCGAATGTCCGTGACGTATACGTGTCGGATGAACCAAATCCTCATTGAATTTTATTTTTCCATTAGAAGGGGCTCGTACATGTTCTGCAGTACCCCCTGTGAATACTCCGCCAGTATGAAAAGTTCTTAATGTTAATTGAGTACCCGGTTCTCCAATAGGTTGACCCGCAATAATACCTACAGCTTCCCCCAATTCGACCAGGTCGCCGTGAGTAGGACTCCGGCCATAACATAATCGACAAATCCAAGATGTACTCCTACAAGTGAAGGGAGTTCGAATAGATATTGGTTGTGCTCAAAAGGTTTTGAATCTATTGATAAGTCCAATTCCAATATCTTGATTTCTAGTGGCAATGCATCCTGGACCCATATATATATCGTCCGCTAATACACGACCAATTAATGTTTGGATAAAAATTCTTTCCAGTATCATCCCATTTTGAGGACTAACAGAAATACCTCAAATGGTGCCACAATCTGTTCGACGTACAACAATGTGTTGAACTACCTCAACAAGCCTGCGCGTGAGATATCCAACATCTGATGTTCGTACAGCAGTATCCACAACTCCTTTGCGGACTCCGTAGCAAGAAATGATATATTCTGTTAAAGAGAGTCCTTCACGTAAATTACTTTGAATAGGTAAATCAATCATTTGTCCTTGAGGATCCGACATTAATCCCCTCATACCTACTAATTGATGTACCTAAGATGCATTTCCTCTAGCTCTTGAAAAAGACATTATATGGATTGGATTAAAAGGGTCAATCATCCTAAAATTGGGATTCATTTCTTGTCTCAAATATTCACTTGTAGCATACCATATCTCAATGGATTGACGTAATTTTTCTACCGCATGTGCATTCCCATAATGATGGTGTTTTTCCAAAATCAAACTTTGTTGTTCAGTAACTTGAACTAGCCATCCCTTAGAAGGTATTGTTAAAAGATCATCAATTCCTAATGAAATGGATGTAGCGGTGGCTTGCTAAAAACCCAGAATCTTTACTTGATCTAGGATGTGTGATGTATATGCCATTCCGAAGTGATCTATTAATCTACTAATAAGTCGTTTCATAGCAGTTCCGTTTATCGCTTTATTGTGATAGACCAGATTGACCCGTTCTGCCATAAGTACCTCCATATTCTGCTGAGTAGGATTCGACAATGGGTTTGAGTCAGTGATTGGAAAACTTTCTTTTCTCGATCTTGAGTCGCGTAGAAATTCCGGAACTGTGATCCTAGTTGAACCAGAGAGACCTGAATTCCCGCTGGTATCATAGAATTACTTAGCTTAGGTACCATATGAACAGGCCCGACAAAACCCTTGTATGGCTTCTTCGATTTCTCGATAAAGAGAAATATGACCAACAGTGGTTCGAATGTATGTCAAAATAATTTCTTTTTTTATACTTCTTATTATTAGATAGTGCTCATAAATCTCATAATAGGTACCCAAAGATTCATAGTGAACTTCGATGGGAGCTTCTCATGAAGCAATAACGCGTTGATCTAGTCGCCATCGGAGCCACAAAGGACTATCTAAATGGATTTTTTTCTGCCAATAAGCTCCAATTGCATCATAGGAATTGCGAAAAAAGAATTCTTGTTTTTTCGTATACTTATAGTCAATTCTTTCATTTTCATTTTGATAGTCTCTGTGATTACATGGATTATGCCTATTTACACAAATACCTCGACGATTCCTGCTCGTTAATACATAGAGTCCAATAAGCATATCTTGGGTTGGTACGGAAATGGGATCCCCAATAGCGGGAGATAAAAGATTCATATGAGAAAACATAAGTAAACGGGCCTCCGCTTGAGCCTCCAAAGATAAGGGTACATGAACAGCCATTTGATCCCTATCAAAGTCGGCATTGAATCCCTTACGAACTAATGGATGTAAACAAATAGCGCGCCCTTCTACCAAAATAGGCTGGAATGCCTGTATGCCTAATCTATGCAGAGTAGGTGCTCTATTCAGCAATACAGGATGCCCCTGCATAACTTCCTGAAGTATTTCCCATACAATCGGTTCTTTTTCCCGAATTTTACTCTTAGCAACCCTTATGTTCGAAGCTCGATGTTGTTTACTTAGACCACAAATTACAAATGTCTGGAAAAGCTCTATTGCTATTTTGCGAGGCAATCCACATCGATGTAATGAAAGTGAAGAGCCTACGACAATGACAGAACGCCCCGAATAATCGACCCGTTTACCAAGCAGAGACTATCAAAATGAATAGTTTGTCTATATGTATTGAAAGTTAAGTACTTTAAGTTAGAGAGGTATCTGTTACTTGTAAGTACCATATTCTATTATATTATAAAGACAAACTTTGTTTAAAAAGACCCAGTCACAAAGCAACAAAAAATATTACCATAAAGGAACTAGGCATTGTCTGTGTGATATATGCCCTCACATAGCAGCCATGTGAAGCCATTTGAATAAGTGAGATACATTTTGTTATTACATAATTCTTGTGACTAATGATTACCGAACACATAAGTAAATGCATCAATTTTTTATTTACATATCAACTATTACTGATTAGATTAGACAGGACCATACAATTCTGAACCATCAAATAATTTCTCCATGTACATGGCTAGTAACTAAAAATATCAAAGTAACTTTACTTCTTCACTTCAAAACATTGAAGTTAATAAAAAAAATGATGGTCATTTTATTATCTTAAAAGTAGGGAGAGAGAGAGAGGAGTGTCATGCCATGTTCCTTGATATACTTTATGTCATTTGTGTCCTTAAGATATGTTCACAAAAAAACAAGAGTTCTTCAGTATAAGTCCTAACATCTGCATGTGAGTTCTAGCTAGCTAGTGAAAGAAGGAAGATAAGGAAAAATTGGTTTGTTTGGTTTGACTCCCCATGGCTTGCAGCTTGAACATGTTCAACAATGAGCAGCAAGGCCTCTGCACCAATTCCATGGGTCCAAGAATCTCCTTCTCCAATGATTTTTTGGACACCCAACAACCAATCAACCACGAAAAGAGCTACAGAGAAGCCCCCGTGTCGTCGGATTTTGAATTCTCTGCAAAAAGCAACGCCATGATCTCTGCAGATGAGCTCTTCTTCAAGGGGAAGTTGTTGCCATTGAAGGAAAACTGCGCCAAGATGACCCTGAGAGAGGAGCTCCTCATCCACGACGACGACCACGAGTCGGACAATGTGTTTCCATGGATGCCAAAGGGTTCAGGCCGGTGGAAGGAGCGGTTGGGACTGAAGAGGACTCACATTGTGCCAAAGAAAGCTGATCACAAGAGTTTTGGGACTTTAGAGACCATAGAGGAAGTAAAGAAGACTATGTTGGTTCATGAGGAGGCATGTGCCACAAACACAGGTAAGATATATATATATATATATATATATATATATATATTTCCTAATAGAAAATTGTAGTTTGGAAACTTATGAAGTAGTTGAAATTAATTATAAGTTTTGATTTGTTTCTTTGTTACAGAAGCTAATTGAAGGAGGAGCTTTCATGGTGAAAGAGGGAAGGGAAGGTGGATTTGTTTCCTCTGATGTTAGAGAGTAGTGTTTGTATGGTTTAACTCTCCATCCATAACAAATAGGGATGCACATTTGTGTATGCAACTATTTGCCTTTGTACAAATGTGTTTGCAGGTTGAAGATTTTCATGTAATAAAATGTATTGTTTAGTCTAAATAATGCTTTGTATTGATTCTTTTGGTATGTGAAGTTGGATATCTTTTATGTTTTACAAATATTAGGATTTGAAGTCTTATTTTTTTTTTTTTTTTTTGGAAATTTTTTGGGTTAGCTCTGAAATTGGCCTTTCAATTTGAGCTTTGGATGTTGCATTTCTCATTATGTTTCTTTTTTCTTGGAATTATTTGTTCATCATCATCTATAGCAACAAGTTCAATCTATATATTTCAGATGATTTAGGATCTGTAAGTTGTTGTGGAATTCATGTCTGAAAAATCCATTCAACTGGTCAAACAAACTCATGGTTAGGTTTGTCAGTTTACCTAAATGACAAATTCCAGGAAGGCACCTCTTGCTTTATGTACCATTCATTACATTGTGTGAAGATAAGAAGTTCAAATTGTCTAAGCAATCTAAAACGTGTAAACAACTATGCTACAATTGTCCCCACATGGGTGTGAGACCCACTACAATAACCCACACTCCGCGCATACTTAATCGGTTATGACTCTCAACAATTAAAGACACACCCCACATCTTTTAGTCGGTTGTCGACTCTGAACTAATTAAAATTTTTCCTTGTGTAAATACTACGATTAAAAGAATAATGCTATCACGAAAACTCTTTCATGAAATTTCTTTATTGTTGATTGAGAATTTCACCTCTCATAAAAAAATGTCCGAATTCGAGTGGTTAATAAGCAAAAAGCTCATCTTCATCTTCTTGTCATGAGATGAGATCCTCTCTTGATAGCATTGCACTGATGTATAATAAACTTTTGAGTACAAAAGTTCATATCAAAATCTGGTAGGATTCAAAGTAATAAAAATAAAAAAATAAATTAGTGTTTTCATGAATTAGTCTTTTTATACGATCCCTCTGAAATAAAAATTCTGCTAGTAAAAAAATGAAAAAATTACTTAGAATTGTTTTTAAATATATCACAGCATATTCAATTAAAAAACCACATCAGACATAATTGAATTATGATTGGGTTAGACCTGGGATGGCACAAAGTTAAATTCAAATTGTTCAACACCTCAGAAATAATCGAATTAACCTGCCCAAGCAATATCCCTATTAATATATTAACAATCTATATTTCTCTCTTTTCTTTCTATTTGTCAAATGAGCAGTAAAAAATCAACATTAATAACTAATTACATTATTTACAAATATAAACATCCTAAAGCCAGTCACCAAAACCTTCTATTTTATTTTTCAGAAAAACAGAACCTGCATTTATCATTGCATGAGAGCTAGAGTTTTTAATCACATAACCACAAGATGTTTTGGAAGAACAATGAGATAAAATTATCTAAAATGGAAGACAGATAAGATTTGATGAACTTTACAACAGACAATTGCATATACTACAATTGGGACATTAAAAGAATACGGCAAATAAATGTTACTATACACTATACAACTCACTAATGCCGATTGAATGACTATAATTACAAGGCTCGGCTTGGTTGTGTCATCATATATGCGTCGTCGCTTCATATTAACAATTTGTACAGGATTACTGTCATGTCTTCTGACCCTAAAGAATGTGTTTAATGGGTTCATCCCATCTGTACACCTGCAACTATTAATACATTGAGAAAATCAGTTTCCAAAATTGGGTATTAGAGATAATAATCTCTTAAATTAAACGAGCGACAGAGCTGAAAAGTAACAATATCGTTTAGCCATCAAAAACAAGTGACAAATTCATTTTACTTGATAACATATAAATGCATAGGCATATCTACAACCAAAAATACACGAGTTAATTCTAGAAGAGCTTTAACTTACATGGTAGCTAAGTCCCCAATGTAGTAACTAAAGGGAACTTCACAACGAATTTCCTTTTTCTTCTGAATCATTTCTTTTTTTTTTTTGGGGGGGGTGGTGGGGGTTGGGGAGGAGCTGATGGGAACCGAAAGTTCTTCAATAAATGAGTTCTGGTTCTAATCCTCTGCGTATCAGATATAGTTAAAAATAAGTAAATCTCGACATCCTAAAATGTGTGCAATGAGCAAGCAAAAGAGAAGTATATTGCACGCGGCTATTCCAAAATTTCAATACCAATTATATGGATTCCCGAGGCTGAGTTGGACCCAAATATTTTTCCATCGACTCTTTCTTGTGCTCCGGATTGAGGCTGCAAATAAAGTCACCCAAGGTTTTGTCCCAGATGTTGTCAAGATGAAAAACCTGGCTAACTTCACACAAACAGAGACAGAGAGATGAGAGTTGACCTGTTCCTGACACCAAGAAGAGCACAATGCATAGCACGTGCAGCAGCGGAGGCTGGAGCTATTGCAGCTGCAGGAGCTGCCTGAACAGCAGTTGCCAATGCAGATCCAACACCAACGCCGCGCTGGTATCTTTTCAAGGGAGTTCTAACTAAAGCAGAAGCACATTTGCCCATGCCATCACCGATACTCTCATATGCCTGTCAAAGTAAGGGCATTAAAACCCTTGGTCGGTACAAATGCAGGTAACCTTTCCCCCAAGGTCAAAATAAAAGGAATTTAGAAAAAATAAGGAAATATTCTTATTGATCAGTATCTCTGCTGGAACATTATATTATTCTATCCTCTTTCAGGCCAAAGATATGCATCACATAATTTCAACAGATTGAAGAGAACTTTCAGATAAGTAAAAGAAAATCCTTGTTCTTCAAAAAGCTAAACAAGGACTAAGTGCATCAGGCTAAGATACACAGCAATGCATTTTTTGTAAACCTTCTGTGAAGAGGATGGAATAATATGAGGAAGCAGTACTTCGATTGTAATTTGAAAGATCAAAACCTCCAAGCTGTTGCTCTCAAGAGCAACACACATCACAACCCTGGTCCAAGATTTAGGGCTATACTTTTAAGTTTTAACATCACTGAGTGAACACCTTATATTATAGACAAAAAGCTTCAGTTGCCCCCCAAAAGGTATCATTTTAAGGTTGACTAGATTAGACCATGCTTTAAAAGCACGCCAACACGGTAGTTTGAAACTGCTTCCTAACCAGAGTAACTTTTTTTAAGTTTACATATTGAGTCCAAATTCTAGCACACTGCAAACATGGATACAATAAAATGAGAAAAAATAAATAAATAATAATTACACGGAACTTCCAAGCACTAAATCATCCACATCACTTGATGTGAAGATTCCTGGAGTTCGGATGATTATTTTTGTTTCACATACTCTCTTACATTATTTATATATAAGAATTCTTTTATTTTTTATAAAAAAAATAAAAAATAAATAAAAAATAAAAAGAAAAGAAAAGAAAAGAAAGAACGAAACACCCTGCTTGGGCCAAGGGGATAGAAGTTGCATCCATTAGAAATCATATTTCCTTTACATCAATCCAATACCTCTTCTATAAATCTGAATATGCAGATCAATACCAATATTTCAAACAACAGGTAATGCAAGCGTACATGATTTTATACTAGTATTTTGAAGTCCAATTATGCAAGCAACACTACACAATGAACAAATGAATTTCCAACAAGTTAGAATATTCACCTGTTGCAATCCTTGCCGAGCATCTTTCGGCTGATTAGATCTTATGTTTGATTTCTTTCTGCTTTGTACAGGATGTTGTACCGAGGGTGGAATGCTTGTAAGTATGTATTCTGCTTGGAGCAGGATGTCGTGTGCCCCTGCTGCCAAATGCACTCCTAACCCAACAGCTTCCAGTGAAATGCTTCTGAGAAATGCAATTGTACCTGAAACAATATAGCTGCATCATTGCTATCTAGACTAAATATTTCTTTCAGTAACAATTAGAGGAGAGGTCAAAAAGTTAACCACTAGGTTGGAGAACAATTAGAGGAGAGGTCAAAAAGTTATCAGAATTAGAACAATTTTTTGGATGCTGGTTAGGAGGGGGTAAATAATTAATTTTACATGTACATAACGCTCTCCCAAATCTCATAAACTGACAATATATTTAGTTATCAAATAGAAGTCCATGTTCCAAACAAATGCTAAATCAATAAATTGATTGCATTGATTGCATGAAGTATAACCAAGAAAAAGTGACGATGCACAGAACTCCGTGCTTTATAATTCATTTCCTCCACATACAGGACAACATAAATTATTACTTTTAGAGTAAATCACCCTCAAATATGCTTCTGTAAACAATTTGAAAACGCTATTATAATCTTCTTGAAGAGTGTATATTAAGTGAGACACTTTTCTCACACGACATAAGAAATCATTAACCAATAAATAAAAGCTTAGAGATACCCACCACAGCCATATAGTGAGACCCCTATGAATGAAATGCGCGCAAATTAACACATAAACTATATATTCTGAACAATGATCAAAATTGTCTCCAATTTTCGTTTCAGTCAGTTGAGAAATGGAAACATTTCCAATGGAAATGGCAAAAAAGTTGGAAATGCATGAAAATACTCGGGAAAATTAAGTAAAATTTATTGATGAGCGCATATAAGCTACGAAATGCAAAATCTATGAATTAAGATGCGTTTTTGGCCTACACATCCATCCACAAAAAAGCCATTAAGGTGGATTTGAAACGGTAAAAACAAATGTGAATAATAACTAAGTAGCATGGACACGGATACAACACGACACGGAAAATTCTAAAAAATTAGGACACGGATACGGCGGGGACACGGCGAATAATAAATATATATATATGATGATGTAGTAGTTTATGAAATTAAGAGTAACATTATTTTTATCAACCCAATAATGAAAAAAAATTGGGCTTTGCTGGGTTTAAAATAGAATGATAGAAAGAGGATTAAGAAAGAGAAGTAAACAAAGAAACAAAGAGGGTTAGGGTTTTGTTAGAAAAAGAATTAGGGCTTAGTTACTAAAAATTCATAGAAGAGAAGAAGTTAGTGGAAACAAGAGAAAAAGGAAAAAGAGAGCGAGAGATAATTTTGTTGTGAAAGGAAAAAAAAAAAAACAGAAGGATCTAGGGTTTGTGAAGAAGAATAAAGAAAAAAGGAGGACAAAGAATAAGAGAGAAAAGAGAGGAGAGAGAGAGAGAGAGAGCATCCACCGGGACTGAATCTTGGTTGGTGGGAGAACAAGATAGAGTCAAAGACGGTCGTGCCAAAGTTTGAACCTTTGAACTAAAATATAATCATATATATCTGATTGTTTGATATTAAATTGTTTTAGAAAACAACTTCTTTTAAGTAATTATTTAATGACGCTCCTCATATTTACAATTCAACCTAGCTTTCTTTCTAAGAATTCCTTAAAATCCTTAAGTGCCTTACTTCTTAAAAAAAAAAAAAAAAAATCCCCAAGAATGGGACACGAGTGTCGGACACATATCCATGGCGTGTCCATGCCGTGTTCGAATATTCAGAAAAATAAAAATAAAAATCCAGACACGCTTTTTGGCGCGTCTGACACAGATTCTTTGCCCTTTTAGGCGTGTTCGTGCTTCCTAGGAATAATTCATTGAAATCACGTAGAACAATTTCTATCAGTAATTTTTTTCCCCATCGAATATTGATTTATACATGTAACAATAAATTGCTATCATCAAATATAACAGGATGATATAAAGGCATGAAGTATATGATATATGTGAGATAAGAACTTGAACACAAGTTACAAACAAAATAACAACCTTAGCAAAACAATTAAGAAGCTAGGCTATAACAATTAGCAAGTGAGCATTGCAATTAATTTCCCCCCTAAAAGAGAAGAAGGTCTCTATGATTGGACTAAAAAATTCAACAGTTTCAACAGAAATAAGTTTGTTTCTGTGTAAACATATGGTATCTGTTTTCTATTCATGTTCATGGTTATTCACCAAGACTGGAAATGTTTCAGCAATTTCAGTTGAAACAAAAGGAAATTTTGATCCTTGTTTGTGAATCAGTGAGTAGGATCATCACAGTTACCAATGTAAAGAAAGTTTCAGCTGTCAAAGAGACAAAGACCATACTACTACTTCACTAAGCCACATCCTACTGTTACCGCAGTCCAAGAATTTTCTAAACAAGACAGAGGCGACTACTTTTCTAGACAGAGACGCCAACCCCAGAACAGCCCAGATGGCAATGGTAAAACACAACTGTAATTACAAATGTTATTCATAGATTAACCTTCAGGCTCTGTTGCATGGACTCCTATTTTCCTTCACGCACCCATGCTGACACGATACGACATGGGTACGGATATAGGATATGTGTCCGAGACAAGAAACCAAATTGGAAACCCCAATCCTTCACATGGTTAGATTGAAAGACAATAAAAAAACTCAAATGTAATAGAAAGGGTGAGTTTCTTATTAAAAACAATATTAACCATTAACCAGAGAAAAACACATAACGTCGTTAAAACGCAGTATGCGTCAATGTACCTGTATCCAACCTTAACACACACTCGCACCCAATGCACTTAACAGGGTCCGCATAACATAGGTTTCTGGTACAATGATTTGCAGATAATACAGAAATATACAGTGGTTATTCCTATGATTTGCATGCTTCAAATTTAATATAAATCTATTTCCTCTGATTTAATCACACCTACATTCACTTCAAATTACCTGCCGAAAGTCTCAAATCTCTAAGTGGGTTGAACCATTGAAGACATAGCAAGCAAGAAATTTCTTAAAGGTTAAACCTAATACTAATTGAGTTCAAAATGAAAATGAAAAAAATAAAAATAACATAAACAACAACGACGACGACGACGTAGGATAGTGTGGTTCGGTTGTGTGCAAAATACTTGCATCAACATAAAAGAGCAAGTCAATCCACATTGAATAGACAAGGAGGACAAAAGAAGGCCAAAAGGTATATTGGTTGATGCTTTAAAGGAAGACATGACAGCATATAATATAAACTGAAAATGTAGCTATTTGGAGCTGAATGGCGAAAAAGGATTCGTTTTAGGCAAAGACAAGTTGTTGGGTTAACATGTGGTTGAGTTCAGTAAGCATAATAGAAAGCCAACAGTTGGGTGTTTTAATATAAATTTTAAATTAGGGGGGCTGTACTCTCCAAATCAGCCAAGTTTTTACTGATACCCTAAAGGTGATTTCTGCTTAACAAATTAATTTTAGTATTCTGAGATGCATGAGCATTATATTCGTTCTTCTTCACTTTCCAACCAAACAATACAAGCGACGCCAGCCACATATACACACAAACACATATCAACATTTATTATTTAACACACAAATCAGGTCTGGCTCATGACACATTTTTGCATAGCATGGACAAAATTTTTCCATTATTAATAGATGAAACAAGTATTTTACTTTTACTGCAAATGGGAAATATGTATTATACTTCCAACTAAAGCACATCTTACATATGAATATTAAACACTGAAACTCCAAAATAAAAAAGGAACCCATTTTGCTGCTTATATAGTGAACCAATTTGCCTACAGATTTGTTTACCTCTCTGCATCCCCTTGATTAATCTGCGGTCCTTCTTGTAGTTCTTCACTGGCAGAGAAACCAACTTTGCAGCCCCAGAACCAACAGCAACCAACGATCGAATGGGAGGGAGGCCTTGCAACAGTTTATGAATCTACGTTGTAGAACATATAAACCATTATCATGAACACACAATGTTCGTTAGAAAGAAGCCTGATATTCCAAGAAGTACAAAGGATGCAACTAAAACCTGATTTTGTGAAATATCCTCCAACCACTCCCCTATTATTGTTTCACACACACTGCTCCAGCCATAGATACCAACAGCATGAACATGTTTGAGTTGTAGTTCAACCCCCTGCATCAACATTAACCAAACATTCAGTTCACCAATTTAAAATGCAACTTTACATTGCACTCCTGACTCCTTTGTACCTATGGTCCAAATGCAAGGAAAGAAAAAGGTGGTTCACTACATTCCCTCGTAAGGAATAGAAAAAAGGTGGGTGTCATTCAATGGCTAAAGAGGCATAATCATAAAGGATTGCTCAGGTAGATGGGCTTATCACCAAGCCCAGCATGATGACTTGAAGTCAGGTGGAGATTTCAATCCTAACTGACCTCAAATCTTCAAAGGCTAAACCCAAGCGGCAGAGATAATTATGTTGGCCAGCTTGAGCCTGCACAGTTTGTAGCCTAATCTGCAGGTGATCTCTCTCTTAACTCCACACAAAAAATACTTCAAATAGTAAATACTCTCTCTTAACCTAATCTGCAGGTGATCTCTCTCTTAACTCCACACAAAAAATACTTCAAATGCAAGGAAAGAAAAAGGTGGTTCACTACATTCCCTCGTAAGGAATAGAAAAAAGGTGGGTGTCATTCAATGGCTAAAGAGGCATAATCATAAAGGAGAATTGTTCAGGTTGATGGGCTTATCACCAAGCCCAGCATGACTTGAAGTCAGGTGAAGATTTAAATCATAACTGACCTCAAATCTTCAAAGGCTAAACCCAAGCTGCCGAGATAATTAGGTTGGCCAGTTTGAGCCTGCACAGTTTGCAGCCTAATCTGCAGGTGATCTCTCTCTTAACTCCACATAAAAAATACTTCAAATAGTAAATACAGCTATATATCAAATATTTCATTGATCCAATGAAGTTCACAACACGAAATAGTATTATCTCTAAACATTGGCATTTTGTTAATATATTAATAAATAAATAAAAAGCAAAAAAATTCAGCAAATGCAACAAATAGAATGTTGTGACACTACTAGTATTCAGGTGGGTAAGCTGGATTTGCATAAGTACTCTCTTCACTTCATAGAAATTGCAATTCTGAACTCCTATACCTTCGAAAGGTTAACTGCACACAACATAAAGATCAACACAAGAAATAAGGACATTACCTTCCAAGGAACCAGGTTAACAAGTTCCACATACTTCCCACCCCTTAATGCTGCTAGGTCAACACGGCAGGGGTTGTAGTCAACCCGAAGAAGAACGGGCCATATATCAAACTTCTGAAACCAAATTCAGTAATATTAGTATATGAAGTTTGACCTACGATACAATTCCTTGAGGGGGAGTGTGAGAGTACCAACTAGGAAAAAAAAATTTGACCTACTACTAAGTGCTCAAGCAAAGAGCTGAAACACAGATTATTTAACAAAATGACATGTCAAGTTTAAGCCAAGCAAAGAGCTGAAACACAGATTATTTAACAAAATGGCATGTCAAGTTTAAGCCAAGCAAAGAGCTGAAACATAGATTAGTTAACAAAATGGCATGTCTATTTTATTCCAAGGATTGAAGTAGAATTATACATTTATCTAGTTAAGCTCAACTAGGCAAGAACATAGACAATGGAGAAGGAAACACAGACAACTCACCAATTAATGGCTCACTGACAAAAGCACATGAATGTCTGTTTGTAGTAGAATTGGAAAGATGCAGGAAGATACAGTTTTTAGTAAAAATGAAGTTAAACCACCAAGGGCTTTAGCTCAAGTGGTGTCTCCTCTTCCTTCCGAAGGGAAGATTGAGGGTTGAAGTCCAACAGGTCAAATAGTGTGTGGCTTACTTACCAAAAAATAATAATAATGAATTTAAACTACTTGCCTGAAAATATGGAAGCAATGCCTCCTCGGTAATTGTATGGCTCCCAAAATTACTATTGTTTCGTAACATCATTGATTCACCTGAATCCTGAGAAGGACATGGAGACTGATCAACTGATGAACACTTTCCCCCAAAGAAATTGATGAGAAAATCAAGTTGAGACTGATGAAGATGCAAACGCATAGGAAGGAATGCAATGCGTAACCTGAAAGGGGAAAAAGTTCAAATATTTAGAACTCAAAAAAGCACTTCAATTTTTGCCTGTCCTTCATTTAAATATGGACCGCTCCTGCCATTTCTTTTTGTAAAAAATCAAGCAAAGAGGAGATAGAATATAGATTAAAGATCTAAGCAGGATGGGAAAAGATAAACTGTAATTTCCACCTCGCGGTTGAACGATTCACGTGCATCAGTGCATAAAATGATTATTTTAATTTTGTGGTGAAAAATGGCAATTTAACACACTCATGGCAGACTCCTAAATGTATTACAGGAAATAATTGGAAAGAATAATTTAGAAAACATAATTTTTCAAGAGTGCATTGTCAAACATATTTATAGAATCCAAAATTTTGATTAGTGCGACACAACTCCCAAACTTCTATTCTTCCCATTACGAAAACAATAAAAAACAGAAATATACTATTATGCATTATTGCATATTCTGTTAAAAAATTGTACATTAACTAATGTTCTTTTAGTTTGACACCTGTGCAGTCTCCCTGACAAGGCTTTACAGAAACAAAATGTTCGTATCAGTCAGGCACAGATCCCCCAAAATTCATAACTCTAAGGAGCAACCACAGTTTAATTTATTTAAACAAATGAATAAATTTTTAAACAAATTAGTTATATGGGCTACTAGATAATGCCCAAAGAAAAGGAGAAACAGAAGAAATAAAATAAAGCAGCAGCCATAGGACCATACCGGTACTCCTCAAGAGGGGTTTGAGGATCTGGTCTGACAGCTTCTAAGTCCAGTTTGAATGCTTTTGATGAGGATTCTCTAGGATGATCTTTTGACTGATAATATCCCAGCACCTACCAAACAAAAGAGTACAAGTGTTCAGAATTTCAGACTTCCAAACAAGAATAAGACAAGAAAAATAGAACTCATAAAGTGTCCCATCTTCAACATTACCAGTTTCCATGGAGCATCATTGCTGTTGTCATTAAGATGAATATCCTGAACCGTGAGAGAATGCCTAGATATACAAATTTCACCATCAGGGTAAATGTCGCACTGGAAGTCAATTCCAGACAATGCAAGCTCTAGGCATGCAGTTTTATCCCTTCCACAAGTAATTCCAGAATGCTGGACATTCTTCTTAAGGTCACACCAGTCAGAACCAGCATACATTCTCCATACAACATTGATGTTCCCAAGAAGTACACGCCCCTTAGCTTTCCTGTAATCTTCAGGTCTAGTACACTTGGTAGGAGTCTTGCCTTCTATAAATCGTTGCTGACCAGTTCGCTCATTGATTTCTGAAACATGGTTGTCTACAATTCTAAATGAGCTGTCCCCATACCATCCATTTCCTCGTACGACAACTCTATTCCCCGCATTCCTGGACTTGCATTTAAGAATCTCATGCGATGATTGGTTGTCAGGAGATAGTTCTGGCAAAGGGTGTTGTAACTCAGATAAGAAATAGCCTTCTATAAACTCTGGAAAACTTTTTTGTAAAAATGAGGTTTGCTTACTTTCCAATCCAATAACAGGCACTGCCCCAGTAAAAGAAAAATTATGCAAGAAGCTTTCAGAGTCTCCGGTACTTAAGTTACTTGCCTCTTTAAGAACAGCATCATCAAGCGATCTATGAAGTTGTGCCTCGTGGATGTCAGATTGGGTATCCAAATTTCCGTCCAAGTGAAATGCATCATCATGTATTTCATCCATCAAGTTGATTGCACCAGGTTTACTCTCTGTATCTACGCTTGATGTATGCACTTGAGAAGTGGATGGGATAGAATTTCTGTCAAAGAACCTGGTTTCATTACTCTCTTGTGCCTGCTGAACATTATTCCACCTAGTCTGCAAGTGCACAACTGATTCCTCTATATCAGGGGCAAAAAGCCGTTGGAGTTGAGCAGCCAGACGAATCAGACCAGAAGTGGTGTCATGGCAAGTGTCAAGAAAGATGTGGCATCCAGAACATTGTACTTCCCAGAGAAGGTCATTCTTACAGTTGAACCTCAGTAGTGCTTCAACATGCGCCTCTCGAGCAACTTTAACATAGCCAAGCCTAGTAAGATATTCTACACTATAGGTGCCGCCAACAATCTCAGCTGTAGACACTGGACAAAGGAGTAGCCCCAAATCTTGCACTCTAATTTTGTAGTCACTTTCAATAGAATCCGCATCCGTCGTATTAGAAAGTTTCAAGGACGATGCTGCTAAGAGACATGTAACACATTTTTCACCTATTTCTTCATAGACATTATCAGGGCTAGACTTGGAATCAAATAATTCACCAGCCACCAAATTCCTCAGGTAGGGCTCGTAACTCAAACCAATATCTACCAAGCTAAGAATAAAAGAAGATCCACAAGGTATGCTTTTTGCAGAATCCTCTTTCTTCAAACTGCTGTCACCTGCTTGTTCAATTTCAGGAGAGGGCATACTGAAAAAGGAGGGAATGCTATCCAACCAATCTAAGCGACCACCTATAGCAACGATAGTGCAGCATCTGACAGTTATGGATGTATAACTATGAGAACTCTCTGGATCACACAGGTACACAATATCAGAACCAGAACACCTGGAAGATAATATATTTGAACCTTCTCCATCACCACGTCCCATAGTAGAGTTGCTACACGATATCAGAAGCAGCTCTTCATTTGGAAATTCAGTAATGGAACCCCACAAATTGCCTTCACCATGGGTCACCCAAAGAAAATCGGCACCCCTGATTCCTCCGATATTTGACACAGACAACAATTCAAACTTATAAACTTCTACTCTTAAACTATTCCAAGAGCCAGGAAGTTCATTGTACATTGAGCCTTTTGTACTCTCTGGTTTTTCCAGGCTAACTGAAATTTCTAAAAGATCACATTCCACAAGAATTGATGTTTGAGATGCAGAAAATTCATCTGTAACTCCGACAGGGTCACTGCGTACACATGACAACCCATCCATCACCTCATGCAAAAGATGATGTAAAGCTTTATACTGAGAACTGCACAGAGTGACGCTTACAGGAGATAAATGGACACGCAGGAAAAATTTAGAGCTCAAAATCATCTCTTGTCGTGAAAGATTATTGATGTCTTCCATATCTTCAACGGTAGTTACAGACGCAAACTCATAATCTTTTCCTATGAATTTATTTCTGCCCTTCGAATCCTCTGATGTAGCTAGAAGTTTGGCTTTCTTTGCTATCCAAGGACCAGTCACGGCACCTTCCTGCCAAACCATACTAAGAACAGAAGGACAGCTTGTTCTGTCAGTGACAGACAGAATCTTTTGAGCAAAACATGTCTGCCTCTGCATGACACAGGAGTTCCTTCCGTCATTCTCTAAGGAAGCAGAGGTTATTAAGTACATGTCAAGGTCTCCCACATTCAGATGCAAGGAACAAGAGGTTGTTGAAGAATACCTCTTCTTAGAACTTCCAAAAGGAACCAGATTCAATGGCGAAGAAACTTCAAGAGCAACAAACTGATCCCAGGAAGAGTAGCTTCTAAAATCTCCAACATTCTCAAAAGGGAAACATAATATAACCCTTGCATTGAGGAGAAAAATATTACCTCTCAGACTTTCTTTTTGTGACAAGTTCATCTGATGAGAGGAAGAGGTACTTTTCACATCCCCGTGGTATGAAGGATTATAATTACCATTGAAGGCCTCGGATGGAATATCTTTCTTTGTGCTAATCATTTCAAAGGAATTTCCAACTTCCTTCAAAAGATCCAATACCATATTTATCAAATGGAAGTTCACCCAGAAAACAAACGGCGGCAACTTTAACGAAAAAGACGTTGGCCCCATGAAACTGCCATCAGAAGAACTTGAATTTATAGTAAATTGGCACTGACTAACACCTGAAGTTCTAAGCAACATAACCTTGACTACATCATCCCTATAAATACTTAGAGAATCTGCTCTGCTAGTGTATCTATCCCTGAAAGAATTTGCACCAACTGATCCACTTGGTTTTCCCAAATCAGCATCTTCTGCAGATGAGGAAAATGGAGGGAGAGCACCTTGGACGGCAGCTTGCATTTGTTGGATTGAAACAATCCGACTTTCGATATCATCATTGCAACCAGGCATACCAAAATTCATGACAGCATTCCCGTTGCTGAAGTGATCAGTGAGCTCAATATGCTCTACCGTCACTTCAAAATTAATTTCTCGAGGACAAACCTGTTGACCTCATCAAATGCTGAAGTTAGCGAAGAGGAAAACTGGACAAGACTGAGTAATAGAAACAACAGGAAAGAAAGGAAAATGGAAAAATAAATGAAGAAAAAATAATAAAAGTTATAACCTTCAAGACAAAAAACATGTCTTGGAATTCTGAACGCAGATAATGAACTTCTGAACCAATATTCATCTGATCACCATTCAGATCACAATGCTTTTGGTCTTCATCAAAAAAGGAGAAAAGAACAGAAATTCCAGCAACAGTTGCCTTAAGATTGGTTTCAACATGCTGCTGTACTGCACCCAAGAGGAAGGAAAAGAAAATTATAGTTGCACAGCAATATGACATTACTTTTTTGTTGGTCCAATCTTGACAATAGGCTGCTATACAAGCTTACTAAGAAAGTAGAACATTAAACAATCATATGAAAAATGGAGCCTAACTGAAGCAAAATAAGCAACAGGCAGTAATTAACTTTCATAAGAACCAAAAGTATCAGGCTGTAAAAAAACTTCCACCGGAACCACAACATAACTCCCATCTGTATTTCATGTATGAGAACTAACATAAACTAATTTAAAAGCACAATCAGATATACTGTTAGCAAAAGATTCATTTACAACAAGAGCAACTAGTCCACCCAAGAACAGGTTCCAAAAGAGACTCAAAATCATATTTTCAAGCTTATGGTTTTTACTGTATAGGCTCATTTCAAAACAGGGCTCCATTATAAAGCTAAGATAAAACTTCAGGAGAGCACCTCAAGGCACTCTTTTTTTATGTTGAAAGAAGCCTTACTGCTCACAATTTAAATAGTACCAATCATATGGATTAGCTTCATGCCTTTAGGCTTATGGTTATAATCCAGATCTAACACGTGCACCTATTTTGCATGTACTCAGGTGTGGGGAACCTTCAAATTTCAAAAACTTAGGACACAAGTTCGCAGCAAAAGAGTCCAAGCGCCAAAAAAAAGTGGATGTGGATGCTTAATTGAAAATACACCCAAAGGGCAAGGATGGAAAAGCAACATGATCAAAATGATACGGGAGTTGTGAAAGCTTCTATTGAAGATACATAAAAGTAAAAATTAAAGGGTTTATGTGCAAAAACAACAAAGAAATAACAGTGTTAGGTTTAATACAATCGCAGCATCATTCTCATCTTTGAACCAGAGTCATGTGAGAAAACCATGAGTGGTGTTTGACGGCTACCACCACATCTGGAAAGCTATTCCGATGAGGTTTCCAGCTCCAAGAATGACAGATGAAAAAATGAGTAGGACTGCACCCTACCGATCTCCCAAACCAGTATCCAGTGTTGTTGAGTGCCAACAGGAGTACCCTATAGTGAACTATCGAGTCCACGTAACACGTGCATCGAACCACCTAATCAAAACAGGGCTACTCCAAAAAGGTCTCTCTCTCTATCTCTCTCTAAATGAGTTAGTTCTAACAGTTGAGACCTTTATCTTCTCAAAATGAGTTATAAAGGTCTCAGGCCTTTTTTGGTAAAGGCAATGCTTTTATTGGCAGAAGATAAGAATCCATGAAAAGACGTAACCATGTCCAAATGAATTAGTTCTAACAGTTGAGACCTTTATCTATCAGTCTCAGCGTGAAGTGAGAAATTATGTTCACTACTGATGGTTTCAAAAGTCAAATCCAGATTCTTTTGTGTGGATTGGGAGAAATGCAGGATTCTTGGAAGCTTAATAGTGTTAAGAATTATCACCCAACTGACAACTTTGGGAAAAACCAAATGGTGCCAAAATCTTCTTTGACTGCTTGGGTCCTTTCGGCACTTGTGTGTTCATGTCTAAGTGATGCGACCTTGAAACTAGATGAGCCTCAAAAAAATTGTTGAATGGGCTAGAATTCAATACAATTGTTACATCATTTGTAGAACTTACAGAAGCACTATCTCCAAACAATTTCAACCATCCAATGAAAAGAATATTAGATAGTTTTGAATCGTATGACAAGAAAAATGAATACCATTAAGATGGGTGGCATCTCTTTCCTTTCAAATGGAAGGTTGAAGGTTGAGCCCTTAATGGGACAAAATGGGTACACGTGTGTGACTTACCTACCCAAAAAATAAAAAATAAATAATGAACTGTGTGTCTGGCTACCTTAAAATTCAGCATCTTCTCCACATAAATTCTAAAGGCTGACAAGAACAAGGACCTAGGTTGTCTGAGAATAGCCACATTTGTGCAAAATAACGCCAAAGGTTAGGACTATCTCTGGTGTAGTCCAGAATAATGCCATTATTATTTTGACAAGTGCCATTCGTACGAATTCTAATGTTAAATTATGCATTCAATTTTCTTTCCTTTGCAACTTCACTATTTTCACATCTCTTAATGAGCATAATAAGTGATTTACAACTATATGGGAACAAATATGTGTTATTGATTTAAATTCTACCCGTTTAACAAGAATCAAATTATGTATATATATATAGATTTTCAAAAAAGTAAGATTGAAAGTATGATTTAGTTGTCTCGCTACACATTATCAGAAGCTACATTATTTCATTAATTTTCATCGTACAAGTGATGGACAACAAAGAGAAAATGCCACAATAATATAGTAATATAAAAAAGCATGTTAAACAACACTAATATGAGAACTTCCTAATTTTCCAGAATATACATGTGATAAAGCATGTACCAGAGGGAATATGCAAAGATCCAGAAGCAAGGCTGGTTGCAGCAGTTATTGCACTGAAAACAGAACACGTCCAGTTCCACATCCCACTCTGTCCTAAAGCCGACTGGGAACTTCTCATTCCATCAAAACATTCGAAAAACTGATGTATGCTGCAGGGCACAATATATTATAGTTATTAGCATAACTCAAAGTTAAAATATATGAGTTGCATTAAACTTTAGATATTATAAAGAAAAATCAATTACAAATCTGGAATGTTTCTGATATCAACAGATGTAGATGCCATCATACCAATGAAAATTTTATGAACTTTGAAGGGCTAAACTTTCAAAAATGAATTATTTATACCTTGGGGAAAAAAAAAAAAAAAACACTACAGGATCAATGAAGTTCTGATAAGATACCATAAAAAAACAAATTCAAATGTGATTCTAAATTTATTCATTACACTTTAAAAGAAAAAAAAAATGAAGATCTGGAGCACAAAAGAAAAGTTATGGTTCCATTTAATTAGAGCATCATCAACCTCAAGAGACGCTGATGGGGGTCCCATAAAAATTTCTCTTTAGAACAACTAAATAAGAACTTTCAGACAAGAAGAAAGAAACACAACCTGGCCCCAAAATCTGGTTCTGCTTCACTTTTGTCTTTCTGATTTTTACTGTGAGACGATGGCACCCAATCTGATATAAGATGGGACCCTGGTAACATAGCATTTGTTACTGTTTCTTTCCCCGTTGGAGAAGAGAAGTCAGCAAAGAAACTTTCGTTGTTTGGTAGCACCTTATCAGTAGCAACCACACAAGAGCCTGAGATTGATGAATGGCAATGAGATGCTGCACTAAAATAAACAGACTCCGAATTCTGATGCACATTATCCTTGCTATTCTTACGCAAACCATTAAAAATTTCAAAAAGATATAAGAACCATTTTATGGAGCAAGGTTGAATTCTTAATACTAAAGGATCTATGTAAGCATCTGCATCCACTTTGCGGATATCTAAAGAACCATTCTTCCAAGGTATACTTAATTTCAGCGTCCCTGAAATTCCACCTTTCTCCCCAGTAACAATAGGAGTCATAGCACTTGATGGACGGCATCCTGAAAACCATTCATCAAAAGCTGCTCCAGAAGCAGATGGAAGGAGTACTTGATTGTTAACACTGTCCATTTGAAGAAATTCAAGTGTTGCTCCATGAAATTTTATGAAGTTTGTTAATCGACTGAATCCAAGAAAGTTATCAACAGTAACATCAGCATTTGAGTTAGCATCTTCAGAAATGCATGTTCCACATTCTGCTTCAGTAATTCGAAGAACCAAGGTTTTGCAAAACTCTGTCTGCTTTTCCTCTCCTAAACAGGGGTCAAAAGCGACAATCACCTTTGTAACTTTTACATGAAAGCTTGAAAGCAACCATTTCACCATCTTAGCAATGGTTTTAACTCCTTCGTGAACATCCACAGAAGCGGATGTCACAGCATTATCCACCATTTCATGCTTTAGTTCTCCCAAATCATGGTTGACAGAGTTGTTATTATCTTGAACCGGTATACAAGTTTCAGATCCAAATTGAGAATTATTACCCCCAAAGGGAGTAAGCACAAGCTCAAGTTCATCAATCTCAATCTGACAACCTTTTCCCTTCCACGGCATTGTGACTAATAAAGAGCCAATTGACCCTTCTTTCACAATCATTGCTGCTGCAGCACCAAACTGAAAAAAAGAAAAAAGAAAAAGGCAGGCAAAATTATATTATTAGTACATGAAAACCTGTGCGAGCATGTGTACATATACACACACACACACACATATATATATATTTAGAGGGAGAGAGATATTTCATTTATAGAAGGCTACTGAAGTCTTATCAATGATAACAGCCTCTTCCCTTGAATGGTGTCCCCTGTTATTCCCAAGCTGGAGTTGTGCATGCCATACTTATGAAAAGTTTAAAAAGGGATACAAATTAAAATATACTCTCTCTTTTTTTTTTCTTTTCTTTTTTTATAAGTAAGAAAATACACTCCCAATTCGACACACCCATTCACTATGCCCCAATAGAGACTTAAATCCTCGACCTCTCTTATAAGTATAAATACATACACATATAACTTAAAAGGTATGCCGTAAACCCACAATTAATAGATGATCATTTCTTATTATCTCATCTCATGTTAATTTTGGTCGTTTGTCTTTTACCTTCTATGCAAACTAATCTTTCTTCTCTCACCGGGGCATCTATAGGCCTGTGTTAAATATATCCATACCAGCTATGGCTATTGGACTCAGATAACACTCAGCCTTTTGGCCCTCGTTCCTGTGAATGCAATAAAGCCCTTTAACCAACTACCTAAGACTACAAGATACTATGAGGGACTCATTCATCATCTTATAAAGAATTCCTCTATCTAGAAAATGGGAACGCTATCTCGGCCGAGTCTAGCGCCTCTTGCCGGTCGAATGGACGACGTCTTATGTGAAGGGGTTCTCTTAATACAGCCCAAGAATTCAAGCAGGTCTCTCTTTTAGTTACTCCTATCATCAACCTCAACATTTGCATTTCTGCTACACGAATTTGTTGTTTTTTTTTTTTAATGCCTAACACTTTGCTCTGTATAAGATAGCCGGTCTAATGATTGTCATATACACTTTCCCTTTCAATTTATTTGGTATTCATTTTGTCTACCCTATGTCAATTCTACTACTTATCCCCTTATTAATCTCTCCGTCCTTTGATATAATTGATCCTAAGTATCTAAAATGATGATTTTGAGTGAGGGTCCTGGTCTTGAATTGTTATCAATATATTATGATTTTCTACATCATTACTAAATTTGCATTACATATTGTTACGATAGACGCAGCGAACCAAGCAACAATTACGATAACACAACAGAAAAATAAGTACACCACACAAAGAACACAGATTTATACGTGGTTCGGTAAAGCCTACGTCTACGTTGGAGATCCGGCGAAAGTCCTCACTATGTGAAAAATCGGAGATTACAAGTTTCAACCCCTCACTCTCTATTCTGTATGAATTTCAGTGTCTCTCTCACAACACACTCAAAACCCTAAACGTCCTTATATATCAGGCTACAAGAGGGCACTAATTAGGGTCCACAACCCATGAGCAAAACGGGTCAAATCTCATCCAACGGGTCGTCGGGTTGAAAGCGGTCTGAAACGTGACCCGGCACCAAATTCGGACCACAACATCACACATATATTCTGTTTTAGTTCAAATAATATTTAAATCTTTTGACTGTAATACATTTCTCTAATTTTCTAATCTTGTTGCTAAGTTTTCTTTGAAATAATCCAATAACACTATGTCATCAGCAAATAACATGCACTGTGGAATATCTCCTTATGGGTCTTTTGTTATTTCATCTAAGATGATTGCGAACTGATATAGACTTAGCGCATATCTTGGTGTAATCCTACTTTTATAACAACATCACCTGCCTTCCCAGTTTTTGTATCCATTTACAAATCCTGAAGAACCATCATCATCATCATCCTTGCCCTTATCCCGTACAAAAGGGGTCAACCACATGAATTCTCTTTTTCCACTCTTTTCTATCATAAGCAATATCTCCAAATAAATTTAACTTTTAAAATCAGTTCGTATCACTTCATTACATGTTATTTTTGGTCGACCTTTTGTTTCTTACCGTCTATGCAAATCAACCTTCATCTCCTTACGAGTACATCTATAGGTTGGCGTTGAATGCCATACCACCTAAGTCTACTCTCTCTTATTTTCTCGCTAATAGGCGCCACACCTAATTTCTCCCTAATTGTTTGATTACTAATTTTATCTTTCCTAGTTATTCCTAACATCCATTTTAACATCCGCATTTCTTTCACATAGATGCATTGTTCGTGTTTCTTTTTTAACGCCCAACATTAAGCTGCATATAAATAGCCGGTCTAATGACAGTCCTATATACTTTCCCTTTTAACGTATTTGCTACTCGTTTATCACGTAAAACCCACTAGTGCTCCTCCACTTTGTCCAACCTATTCCAATTCTACTAATTACATCCTCATCGATCTCTCCATCTTTTTGTACAATCGATCCTAAATTTCAAAAATAATTACTTTGAGTAATGCTTTGGTCTAGAATTTTTATTGCTATATTATCATTTCCTATAGCGCACCTAAATTTACTCCATGTATTCTATTTTAGTTCTACTAAGTTTTAAGCCTTTTGACTCTAGTGACATTCTCCAAGCCTCTAATTTTATTGCTAAGGCTTCCTTAGAACTATCTAATAGCACTACGTCATCCACAAATAACAATCTATTAATGAAATAGGTATTTCTAAAAGGAAGTGATGACAGATTAGCAAATTACTAACTCTATCTGCGGAATTTAAAATATTAGACATCTAAAGAGTCTGTTGATTTTTAATCAAAACTGGAAGCTTCTCGAGCAACCAACTACATTAAAAATGAGTTCTACAACTACAGCATTCACAAACAAAATTCAACAAAAATTTCAGACACACAAAGGTCAAACAACATAGAAACCGTGAATTGAACAAAAATATGTAAAATGGGTGTACCTTTTGGTTGACATAATCGACATTGAGAGCAACATCAGATAGTTGAATCGTACCCGCTGCTAGCTGCACATCGAGCTGGTCAAGATCGATGTCGCCTAGGATAAATTGCCCTAATTTCTTCTTCAGCAAGAATTTGCAAACCCTTTTTATGGCCCACCGGGAGAACATCGCCTCCGCCGATTTGGCGATGTTCCACGGGAACATCTTTACGATTCCTGATTCCTTAAGAGTTAGAATTGTGGTTTTACCTGTGAAATTAGGGTTTCTGGGATGTGTTGGAGAACCAGAACTTGCTTGTGATTGAAGCTCTAATCTCCATCAGCGGACAAAAAGGACAGAGAGAGATGAGAGAGGGAGAGTGATTTGATTGATTACTTAGAAAGAGCCGATGAGAGAAACAAAGAGGACTTTTGAGACTTGTTTGGGCTTACGTGTTCATGCTGTCCCATATTCTATTAACAGTAATTCCAAATTCTAATTAAGCAGTTTTATACGGTACATCTACAATTAAATTGTTAGTATTGTTTAAGAGATAGAGTGATACTATTTAACTCAAAATTCTTTCTTAAATTTAACTTCTCAGATTACACATTATTTTTTATTTTTTTCATGATAAGAAATAGATTCTCACATTGAATCGATCTTTGTAATGACTTGAGCTCACCATTAGGAATGGCAATTAGACGGGTATAATCTATATGGAGTGGATGTGTCTAAATTTTTTATTTCATAATTCATACTCGTGATCTGTTAGAACTTATATGTGTTAGAAGATAAATGTATACGTATCTTGTCTTTTTTATTTTTATCTATATAATAAATAAATTGAACAAATCTATAAATTCTACCCAATATAAATACATTATAAATAATATATATATGTATGTATGTATGTACTTACATCTATAACACATACATCTATATGTTAATAAAATTTTTTGTTTTTTCAAATAAAATAGGGGGGTTTAAAATTATACATGTCCTTATGGTTCTCATATCAATACAATGGGGTGGTACAAATTGTCTTCCCTACCTGCCTCCACTAATTTGAAGGTAAAAAAACTCTACGTAAAATATATATATATAAATAATAATATTTGTTTATGGATTTTAAGTCACTCTAGTTGGTTGGAATAATAATTATTTCCCATTAAAAGATGAGTATTTTAAAAGTTAATTGTAATAGTAGTACGTATTAAATAAACCCTCTGGCTGTTTTCTTGAAAAACTATAATAATGGTGAAGGACAACCATGCTATCACTGCTTGTACGTTTTGTTGTCTTTTTGTGTACCATTGTGCATATAATATTTTGATGTAATGATTGTTGGAAGCATTTTAGAGCCATAGACATGGGTGGCTTAAGATTAGTCAATATGCTATTCTGAATTTTCAATTGGAATATAAATTGCTTTATCTTCTTCTTCTTATTATTATTATTATATACCACATCTTATTATTATTTGGTGAATCATAGATTATATATTTCACGTTGGGCCTCTCTTAATTCAAAAAAAAAAAAAAAAAAAACAAATTCAATCATTCTTCAAATAACAAATTGAGTTCATCTTCTCAGTTCTGATAATTTAGTAATATAAAATAAATTTCAAAGTAAGTGTAATATTGAAAAAAGAAAATTAACAATTGATAATATATTATATAAGGATAGAGTATATAACAATGTTGACTGTCAAAGAAACAACCCTCATTAAGTATTATTACTCCAATTTAAAGGCACTATTAAACTTAGCCAAAGAATAATTGTATATATATATATATATATATTAGTGAGCAAGATTGTAATTTTATAAAGTAAATAAGATTATTTAAACCTTATTAACCTACAAAGACAAAATAGTATAAAAAGATTTATCAAATGATTAGTGATTATAAAGAAAATAAGTTATCAAAACATGGAGCAAAAGGGGAATATAAGAAACAAAGTTCGCGAAGTTCTTTTTTCGTTGTTGTTGTTGTTTTTTTTTTTTTTTTTTCGTCACTTTTAATTCAAAATGTATTATCGCTTAAATGTAGAAAATGGTAAGCACATCTAAAAATAGGATAAAATTTTAAGTGACAGAAACATCATTTACTTAAGGGCAAATTGCAAAAAATCCCCGTAGACTTTCACCCGTTTGCAAAAAACACCACTTATGAATATCTTTAACAATTAACCCCCCTCAACTATCATGAGGGGGTCATTTTAACTAACCTCTGTTTGAGTGATTGTGTGATAAAATTTTCAGACAAAATTACCCTTAAAATCAAAACAATACATTAGTATTACTAAAGTACCCATCACTCATTTTATTATTATTTTTTGTAACCGCATAAAACACTAAAACAATGGCTCTTATTATGAAATGGGGCCTTCGATTTTTTATTTCGAGAGCATTTGAAATATATATAGTAATATGGTAGTTATTTATCAAATGTCAACTTAAATTGATTTTGGTGAAGAAAAAAAAAAAAACTTGTACCATGATTTTTTTTTAAATTTAAAAGTAAAAATTTATAAGATTCTAAAAAATTATGGATATAGCATACAAAAAAAAAAAAAATCCAGTGACGTTCACCCCCCCCCCCCCCCCCCCAAGCATCTTTCACACTTGTTTTTTTTTTTTTTTTTTCTTATAGTCAAAAGATATTTCACTTAAATAACAAATATTTGTTTGGACTATCTTTAATTATTTATTTATTCCGTAGAAAAAGTGTTTATTAACACATAAAATTTGATTTATTTCAAGCTCATAAATCTTAATTCCAGTACTTTTTAATTAAATTGTGATATGCTACTCACACACAGAAAATGAAAAAAGCCATTTTCTCCTAATTATGAGATGATTTTGCCACATAGTTTGATAAATTTCTACTTTTAAATTTAATAAAAAAAATCTTGGTACTGATATTTTTGGATGTCTCATATATATCTCTTTCTTTATATTATTCTATAAAAAATCAATTTAAGTTTTTTTTTTTTTTTCACAAAAATCAATTTAAGTTGACATTTGATAAATAACTACCATATTACTATATACATTCCAAATGTTAGAACATTTCAAAAGAAAAAAATCAAAGGCCACGTTTCAAAATCAAAGGCTTCGTTTTAGTGTTTTATGCAATTAAAAAAATAAATAAATAAATAAAAAGTGAGTGGTGAGTATTTTAGTAATACTAATATATTGTTTTGATTTTAAGGGCAATTTCGTCCCCTTTTTTTTTTATACAATTAAAAAAAAGAAAAAAAAAAAGTGAGTGGTGGGTACTTTAGTAATACTAATGTATTGTTTTGATTTTAAGGGCAATTTCGTTTGAAAATTTTATCACACAATCAATCAAATAGATGTTTCATGTTAAGGGTAATTTTGTCCAAAATTTTTTCTTACACAATCACTCTAACACAGGTTAGTTAAAATGACCCCCTCATTATAGTTGAGAAGGATTAATTGTTAAAGATATCTATAAGGAGGGTTTTTTGCAATTCGTCCTTTACTTAATGTTGAACACTAAAATTTAAAATAGTATTAAAAAAATATTTATTTTTTAATTACACTAAAAAATTTCAACACTTAAAATTCAGTTATTAAAAATTTTATCAAATAACACCTAATGTGAATATAATAAATTTTTTAAATTTTGTTTTGTTTAAACTTATTAATAATAATTGAAAAAACCTTAATAAATAGTAAAGTGAAAAAAACGTGATCATAAACATATTTTAAAGCATAAATAATTGTCTAAATCAGGTGAATGGCCAAATGTCGACTTATCTCATTGGAGATTAACAATGAAAAAATAGATTAAATAATTATTTAAGGAATAAGATACGAGAATAGGTCAAAGTTAGGCATCACTAATCTTTGCTTTTAGTGTAAGAATCCCATATAATAACAAAAATATATAAAACAAAGCCGTGTCCGCGTGTTCTAGCGTAATGTCTATGAAAAACAACAGCCGACTTCAAAAGAGAGCCTAATCACATTTAATCACCCCTTCTTCTTCTTCTTCTTATTTATTTTTATTTTTTTGTCACTTGTCATGAATAACAAGAGCAAAAGTAAATTTAGGAACAAAAGCATTAAAGTGACAAAATTTAAATTACACCGAGTAAAAATAAGAACAAGAGAGCGCACGAAGAGTGAACACAAAAGCGTGCTCAAATATAAAAGCGACTTGAATTATGAAAAGACAAAAAAAAAATAAAAAAAATAAAAAAATTTAAACTTATATTACCTACTCTAAATTAGACTTCATTATACTGAGATATGTGATGCTCAATCATAAAAGAACTTTTAAATAATCAATTGTTAATTTTGCACAGTTATATAAACAAAGAAGCTAAGACACGTTGAGTCCAACATATCCAAGAATATTCTGTATTTATGAACCGTGGTTCAGTCTATTCCAGATGCCGAAAGCAGAACCCTAATAATGCAACGGTTAGAACCTGCAATTTGAATGTGTGGGTCCACAAATTTTTGTCAACATATATTCAAACACATAAAACAGAGGAAATATAAATAGAAAGAAAATAATAAAATAGTCTATTGTAAAAGTTAAAATTTTAATTTGATTAAATTAAGTAAATAATTATAAATACATTAAAAATTATTATAATATTAATTAGATGCAAATTCCAAAAGAGCATATATATATATATATATATATATATATATTCAGTAATTATATATATACAGTAATTATGGGTTCCTAATTTGGTGGAAGTCATTACTAATGCATATGAAAGAGTTTCTAATTCGCTCCCAGAAAACATTAGAGGTTTCACATCACGACCTATTGAACCACACATGCAATGCTAAACATTCACTTAATAATGTACAGTCAGCATATGTGATAAGTGATTAATATAACCAGAGAATGGTACTAACATCATCATTCCGATTCATATTTATCTCTCTTATATGAATAACGCCTGCCACATAAATTCTTTGTATTTAATCTTTTTATTACATGTAATGTTGCTTATTCTATTTAACTTTTTTTTTATGTCACTTTAAATAATTTCATCTCGCATTATTTTTGGTGGACAACTAATTTTCCTCATTTGATTAGCACAGTAGGGGATGAATTGTAAATATAGGTTTAAATGTAAACGCATCAGTAAAGGAAGTGAACCATTTGCATAGGAGACTGGAAAAATGCAAGACATCGTGAAGGGTATTTTGGACCTTAACATTAATTCTTAATACATTTATAATTATTTTGCTGAATTCAATCAAATTAAAAAATAAGGGTTTGCTTGATTTGTAACTATGAAAACAATTTTATCTTCTCAAAAAATCAAAAAACAGAAAATTGTACAAAAAAATTCTACTTCCTTTAGTTTTCTAAAAACTTACCTATAAAAAGACCTGTTTTTTAAAAATAGTTTTTTACGGTTCTTTTAAAACTATTCTTTCTTTTCTAAATTTTTCAGAACTATTTAGAAATTACAAACCAAGCATGTCCTAAACTTTTAAAGTAGAGACATTTTGTTATTTAAGATTTCTAACTCTACTTATGTACGATTTATAAATCAAATAACTTTTAAAGCATCAATTGTAAATTTTGCAAATAGGTAACATAAACAAAGAAGGTAAGACACATTGCTTTCCTAGTTCCTCGTAAGAAAATGTATTGATACACTTGGTACATTTCTTTCCTCAACATGCACACCATCTCCAATTCCGGTAATGGAGTCCAACATATCCAAGAAGATGTTGTATATGAATATATATGAACAGTCATTGATCAAAACAGTCTATTCGAGGATGCCGAAAGCAGAACCCTACTAATCCGGTGGCTAAAACCTGCATTTTGAATGCATGGATCCAACAAAAGCTTCTTTTCTGTAAATTTTGTAAATATATATTCCAACACAGAAAAAGGAGGGAATATAAGAAAGAGAAGATATATATATATCATAATTGGCATTTTTTTGGCATCACGAAATATATCCCAGTTCATCAATTTGGATAATTATATAATTACACAATACATCTTGAAAGGATTACTGTGTAATTAGCCCTCAAATTCCAAAATAGTGAGGATGGATGCCAGAGTGTCATCATCAACTAAGGATTGACACAGAGCAGAGCATATACCCGGGGAAAACGATTCGACACCATAGTTTTTTTTCGGGCATCAAAAGCGAACACACTTGAATCAAGGCCAAAAGCTAGATGCTACTTTTTGCCTGCAAGAACAAAATTACATAAAAGAAGCACTAATTACTTATTAGAAAAAAAATAAAATAAAATAAAATAAAAATGAATTGATTCAAGACAAAATTTTACACACAATATATGTGAAGACAACATTTAAACACATAATTCAGTCAGAAATACCTAATTCTACACATAAAGAAAAGGTTGATACAATTATATTTGGCTACATTAGCGACTAGTTAAACTTTTGGTGGTGCTTGCTTTTATTGCAAAGCACGAAAATTAAGAGTATAATCAGGTTTTTTAGTCATAATGAACCAAGAAAAGAGATACGAATCTTGTCTAACCAAAGTAAAATATTAATTGTGTCATGCAAGTATGCAACCATTCTTTACACTACCAAAAAACAACACACATTTTTTGAATGCAGTCAAAATGGAGCTTAGTTTCAAGACTCCTTAAAACATGTTACTAAGAAATTCAAAAAAATAAAAAAAAATAAAATAAAATCCGAGTTGAATATCCTGTTTCTAGTTAAGCAGAAATGGCAATCTTTATTATTCCAGAACTGATGATAGTTGCATCTAGTCTAACTTCATCTGCAGGTTTATGCAATTCTATAGGCACCATATCACACCAAGAAAGCAACCTTACTCACACGACATTTTTTATTGATACGAGTTCATCGCTTCACTCTTTAGCCCCTTATTCCTATTGCTAAATCAATGCATTTCCTTTTAAAAATCATTTTTTGTGTTGGTGTTTTCTTGTGTGTGAAAGGCCAGGTCGTGTGAAACAGACCAGACAGCTTGCCAAATTATTTACTCATTGTGAAATGTTTAGACCATTAAGTTTACAACATGCTACTAGATTAAGAGGTCAGTGCTTATGTCTACTAGCCAAATCAAGATCCTGGCACTCACAGTTCTTGAGTTCTAGCCGTTGAATTATCATAATAATAAGAACATCATGTATATGATTACAACCTACCAATATCATGTTGAAATTACTGGGATTTTAGCTATGTATAAGTTTGTCACGTCCAAATGTATACTAAATTAGCTTGTGTCCGAATTGTTGGTGGTGATATGGACAGATGCTTTGAATGTTTTACAATGTAAAGGGTGTGGAGAATATATACTTACTTGCTCTGATTCTTTTGGTTGGTTTGGCACTGATGTCGTCAAGGTGTGTAACATCTGAAGCCCCATCACTATCTTCGGCTTGATTCACCCTTATGATGTAAACCTGGAAATTGTTTGAGGTGAGGTAATTAGAAGACTCGATACATGAGAGAAACTATGCAGACGGTCCTTGATGACAAGGTGAACGGCCATTAAATTTTAAGGAACTGAACGACGAATTAAATCTTGAAGGGAGCAAGTTTAGTTTAACGTGAATCATTTATTCATCACAGTAGTGAACTAGTGTCTATAATTTGAACAATATTAAATTCTTTTGATAATGTCCAACTAAAAACAAAATATTTTTGAATTACTTGAAAGCACATCAACAAAAGCTTCAACAGAACAAAAGTGGACCAAGCATGCATAGAGTTAGTCCAAACGATCACCTTAAATTTGTTGGGCCGAATTAATTGGAAAACCAATGCATCCCCATCAACTAATTGATGATCGATAGCAAACCCTCTCCACCCACCGCTAAGTCCTGTTTTCAGACAAAGGTATTTCGTTGCGCTTTCATTTCCATCCTCATCCAACAAAGTGATCATTTCATCACGCTTTGGAAGATGTCTCTTGCAGAACTGTTGAGGAAGACCCTAAGGAAAATAGTGCAACAAATTATCACATATGCATACAATTTCCAACATTACCGAGATGACTATTTTATCCTTGGCAACAATAATCCAACTAACTAAAAGCAGAAAGAACAGCTTAAGTGTCTCTTTAAGTTCTTATTTTTCTCAATGCATGATCAGCTCACAAGAAGGTACTAGAAATTACCAATAAAGTATATCACCTATTACCATCATCTATTGTAAAACTTACCAACCAAAACCCACCAGTCACATGGGATTGAAGCATTGGCTTTACAAAGCTTGGGAAATCAGGTTCCAAACCTGATAGCAGTTCTTCTGCTCTATCTCGAGCATACTCCCTATCTTCATCTGAGGCATATACCCGATTAGACAAATCCCTCCGCTTATAGCCATAAATCCTATGTATGAAAATCATATTGTAAAAGGTACAAGATGAGAAATCAACAGAACATCCAAGACTGCATTGTAGAAAATTCGAAATTGGAAATATTGAGTTATATACACCTTCTAGGCCTCCCCAGAGGTTCAACTGGAACCTGCCAAGATTCAAGAGATTTGAGGGTCAATGATGTATGGTGAGGAACCATTTTAATTGAAGCCACACTCAGTTGAGAGGTGCATTGTACTCGAATAAAGATATAGTAAAATGTTAATATTAATATATAGATAAGCTAACTTCAGACAAACATCAATGGCATACAAATCAAAACCGAAGCAACTCCATTCTTGAATAAAATTATTAGGCATAGTCTAATTTCAAACATAAATTAATTAGATAATAATATAGAAAACCCCAACTCATTAGATTTATCTGTAGCTTTATATCTAAAGGAAGTTCTAATCTGTAAGGAGGACAGAATCAGATTTAATTACATCGCAAAGAACAATTGCAATATGGCCTAATTATTTCAGTTTTCAATTTTCTGATAACTAAAAATAAAAAAACTATAAAATAATCTGCATGGTTGAAAGTTTTCACAAAATGACTGACCGGATAAATAAAATAAAAAGAGACTGTTTTCAGATAACTGTGAGTTATAGTTTTTAAAAAACAGTTTTATGAGTTCTGGAAAACTGTATTAAACCAATGATCACGAAAGTAATACAGTAATGAAACAATACCAATGTGCAGCTATGTAAAGTACCGTAATTTAAATTGACTCGCACACACAGAGGGAAAGGAAAGTTAAGTAGAAAGGAAAATTAAACCGTCTTGATTTCAATCCAAAAGAGAAGAGGGATCATCACATTCTCTTCCTTGAGAGATAATCCCCATATTTTCTTCTTCTCTCTAGAATTCCCAAACAAAGTGTTAATAAATTATAACTAGCTCTGTGCAATTTAACCAAGATAGGAATTTTATTATGCAACAAAAATTAAAGGCACAAAAACATAGAGACAGAGAGATATAAGGAGAGAGCTCACATCCTTGTAATTAGGTGGTGGCTTGTCTGCAACACGATTGGACCTCCTCACTGCAGAGAGGTCCAGTGGCTGCCTAACCCGTGGTTTCACTGGCTTCATCTGTAAACAACGCATCCAAATCAATATACATATATCCATATATATGTGTGTGTCTATATATATATATATATATATGTAGAGAGAGAGAGAGAGAGAGAGATGAGTGAGGAGAACCGGAGAGGGCTTAAGGTTAGTCTTGAGAGAGAGAGCAAGCTTATTAAGATTGAGTTCTTCCATTCTTTTCTTGTTCTCTTCCAATCTCTTCTGACGGCTTTCTTCATATTTTGAATTCGAAATCACCATTTCGCTTTTTGATGATTCTCCCTCTACCCGAACGTACTCGTGAAAAGGGGAGAGAAATGAGGAAGAGGAAGAAGAAGCGTAGAGGACACACAAGTGACAAGACTGTTAAAACCTCTCTCCAAAACCCCTTCTATTCTGTCCCCTCTATTCTGTGTACACTCACTCAATGCAATGCTAGTTTGAGCGCCACTTTGGAGGTTTGAACTTTTGAATTTTCAAATGGTGTCCTTTAGTGGACTACTGTATATTTACTACTATTTTATACTCAGTAGTAATACGATATATATTTATATACTCAAACATAATCTCTCTCATCTAGACCTTCCTAAGAGAAAGAAAGCAAACTAGGGATCCACTACTTGATTCCATATTGCAGTGTCATTCCAGTAACCTGGTGGTGGGTTTCATGACATATACTGATATACACAGTTTTAATCAAGTCTCTAAGTTTTAGGTCTGCAAGGATCAAATTAAGATTTCATTGGTGGTGGATTTAAAATTAAACCAATTGATTTGCGTCGATGCAAATCCATGAGGAAGGCCTTAGCCTGGCTTCTTGAGGCCGAGAAGGTAGTCGGATTTGGGGTTTGTTCCTGAGTTTGATTGATTCCGTCTTGGGTTTGTAGAGACAGAGAGTTACAAATTGGGGGAAGGCACATGGGTTAAAAAATATACTCCTATAATTATTATTATTTTTTTCTTAGTTTAATTAATTTATTATTATATAAAGGTATAATTGATTTTTTACATTTTCTGTGACAGAAAAAGAGAGGTCAAAATAATAAACCTCCCTTTATTTATGTGATATACACTTGAAGTCATTGTAATTTACCCATTATCACCACTCAAAAATGCACCTGGAATGAAAAATATGGGAGCAAGATGTTCTAGTGTGGCAGTCGTTAATTCATCAAAACAAATTTAGCATTTATCATCCTCAATACACTCCTCATTCTCAGCCTCGAAAAGAAAAAAAAAAAAATGACATTACATACCAGAGGAAAGAAAGGGAAAGAAATATAATAGTTTTAACATCCTAAAAGTGTTTGATTAACAAATGAAATTAAATGATAATAATCATGTTTGGAAAAAAAAACTAAAGGAAACCGTTTTAATGAATTTATTATTATACCCATTTATATTTTTAAAAGATAAATTTATAGGTAAAGTTTGTAATTTTTGAGTTTGACAGTCACTGGCAACAAATCATACCTATATTTGATTAATTATTTAACCCAATTAGAGATATTAGCACAAACTATTTATTTTTTCATAGCATTTATTAAAAATTTCTCATATGCACAATGGTATAAATGTAGAGTATGATGATCATCTTATAATATAAATACACTTAATTAGGAAGGCAGTGGTTGTCTTTGTTTGGATCAGTGGTGATGAAGTTTTTCCTGCCCATTATCATCATTTCATTACGATATGATTGCTCTAAAAAAAGCTTGTTCCAAATGTGTCATTTTAGGCCTATTTTTTTCCATGATGTTCAAAAGACCTGAAGACAATATCGAGGGCAGCACAGATGTGTGAAGACAACATATCAAAGGCCTTCAAATGGTCATTCGCCGTCAAGTTACGGTGAATGTGAGCCCAGAACCAGCGGAAATTATAGAAGAAAATAGAGTTTTTACTATGGCTATGTTTGGTAGGGTGGGTTTGAAGGGAGAAAGATTATATTAGTTATAAAGGAAAGGGTTTAATACCTGTTGTGTTTGGTTGATTAATGAAGAAAAAGAAAAAGGAAGGGTAATAAACATGTTTGGGAAAAGAAAGGGAAGGGAGTTATTTTAATAAATAGATTATTATACACTTTTATATTTTTATATATATATATATATATATTGTCTCCTCCTATACCAGGCCATGATAGGCCAAAAAAAAAAAAAATAGGGCAAATCATTTCAGCCTCCCCAATCTCGCCTCCACATATATATATATATTTTTATTTATTTATATAGACTATCTCCTCCTATACCAGGCCATGATGGGCCAAAAAGAAAAAAAAAAAAGGGCAAATCATTTCAGCCTCCCCATTTCTTTTAGTTTATCTATCTGTCTGCAAGAATCAAAAATCAAAACCCATATCTTTCAGTTTCCATCGCCGCTGTTTCAGTTCGGGCTCGCCGTTCACAATCTTTAGCCGCCGGCCCGCCGTATCTCACTCTCTCTGCAGCTGCTAACCTATATGTATATGTAATCTTGAGGGCAAATTAGGCATCACAGATAATAAATCAACCCTCCCCTTCACTTTCCTTCCTTTTCCTCTCATTTTTGGGAGGATAAGCAAAACACTGTTCAGACCTTGTGTTAACCTTCCCTTTCCTTCAAACAATTTTTGCCAAACACAAATTTTTAATCCCCCTCCATCACCTTCCCTTCCCTTTCCTCCCTTTTCCATTGCACCAAACTGACCCTATAAGTCAGATGGTGGATTGCAGTCAACACCACCTCTGCTTTGTTCACTATAGAATTTTCAAGGCTGAAACTTAATTCAATACAGCTCATGGATCATCTCCTCCATCAGAACACTTATTAAGGCTTGTCAAATTGAATGACTGTGAACTATCTCAAAGGCATAATAGATGTCCGGAAGAAGAAAATGAAACAACTATAACTCAATCTCAAGTCATTGTAACCTTTACTAGAGTTTTGAATCATAATAACCAATTTGATTAGTATGCTTTATGTAGATCCTAAAACAAATATGTTAAGGGTAAATTTGGTATTAAAAAATCATATTAGTTTCTCCTTCTTTTTTCTTCCATTTCCTCGATCCCATTTTTAGGAGGAAAACAAAAGTTACTATTTAAACTTTCTCTATCGTTATAAAAACCTCAATTTCCGTTCCTTTCTTTTACATCCAATCATTTATACCAAACACAATTTTTTAATAGCCCTCTATTACATTTCTTTTCTTTTCCTCCCATTTCCATTGTACCAAACTTGGCCTAAGGTTTAAATTTAACAAGCCCTCTTGGTTCGTCAATCGCAATCACTTTGGTTGAAAAATACCCTTTTTCGCCTAAAAATTCTCTTATAATTGCCAAATAGTACGCCACGTCTGAGCTGTAACTATCACTCGGGTCATCCTCTACTTCCTCCGTATCGTAATTGTAATCTAAAAACCCTGACGAGTTCGAGTGACTTCATGGTGGATAAAAACTTGTTTAATTTTTGTTGTTGTTGCTTATGACTTTACCATTTGTGAATGTCAGTCATTGTTCAAACATGTTATTTGATGTGTTTTGTCAAAGCAGAACTATCAATTTCTTTTGTCAATAGTCGGATTTAGTTTTTTATGATTTTTTTATTTCCACTGTGCAGGTGCCATCTGATGCTATTACGTGCAGTGCTACGTTTTCCCCACTTAGTGAAGCTTACTCAAGAATGGACTTGATCGCTGTACATCAAATATTGGAAAACATTGGCTACAGAGATAAAAGAGTGATGACATATGAGGTTTTTTTTGCTAATCAAATAAACTTTTACCATTGCACCAATATACACATTTTGTTTGTAATCTAGCTCAGATTTGCTTTCAACATTGTAGATCTCATTTCAAATACAGGACACATTGAATTCAAAGAAAAAGGGTGATACTGCTTTCCAGGAAAAAGATTTTAAAACTGCAATAGAGTGCTACACACAGGTTATTATCATTTTTAGTTGATTACAACAAGCGCTTTTATATGTATACATCAATGCATGTGTGGTTGTATGTCCACATCTATAGATTTACTTTGGGAACTGATAAAGATTTCATGACATGTTTTCTACTTGATATGGTGGGATACTAAACAGTTAAACAAATAAAGCCTTTACCCAATTGATGGGATAACTGGATCCTTTAAGATGCTTTCATATGTAACCTTAGATCTATTCTTTGACATTAAATGGTTGACTCTTCTTTCACAAATTCAACTTCTTAAGAGTTACTAACAATTTGTTATTTAACTTGTAGTTCATTAATGTTAGAACGCTGGTATCCCTAACGGTTTTTGCTTGTCTTAGTATGTCTTATCTTATGAGCGACATGGCTAAAGAAGCTTTTAATGATGCAATGGTAAATAGAGACATTTCTCCAGCCTGACACATTTCATCTTATCTACAGGCTGCTGCATTTTTTGCTCTCAGAATGGAAAATGAAGCAAGAGTAGTACTTAAGGAGGCCTCAACTTTTAAGGCCAAAAAGAACAACCAATGGACAGTTACCTTTCCACTTTGATTTGACCCTGTTTGTCTGTGTGTTGTTTTGTTTGATATCACTATAAGGAAGGTTAAAACTGCAATATAGTGCTACACGCAGGTTATTATCATTTTTAGTTAGTTACAACAAGTGCTTTTATATGTATGCATCAATGCATGTGTGGTTATATGTCCACACCTACAGATTTAGTTTGGGAACTGATAAAAATTTTCTGACATGTTTTCTACTTGATATGGTGGGATACCAAACACTTAAACAAATAAAGCCTTTTCACAGTTTATGGAATAACTGGACCCTTTAAGATGCTTTCATATGAAACCTTAGATGTATTTTTTGACATCAAATGGTTGACTTTTCTTTCACAGATTCAACTTTTTAAGACTTACTGATAGCTTGTTATTTAACTTGTAGTTCATTGATGTTGGAACACTGGTATCCCCAACGATTTTTGCTCATCGTAGTTGTCTTATCTTATAAGCGATATGGCTAAAGAAGCTTTTAATGACGCAATGCTAGACGGAGACATTTCTCCAGCTTGGCACATTCCATCTTATCTACAAGCTGTTACACTTTTTGCTTTCAGAATGGAAAATGAAGCAAAAGTAGCAGTTAAGGAGGCCTCAACTCTTGCGGCCAAAAATAATAACCAATCGACGGTTACCTTTCCTTTTTGATTTGCCCTTATTTGTTCGTGTGTTGTTTTGTTTGATTTCACTATAGGGAAGGTTAAAACTGCAACAGAGTGCTACACGCAAGTTATTATCATTTTTAATTGGTTACAACAAATGTTTTTATATGTATGCATCAATGCATGTGTGGTTGTATGTCCATATCTACAAATTTAGTTTGGGAATTGATAAAAATTTCATGACATGTTTTCTACCTGATATGGTAGGCTACCAAACACTTAAACAAATAAAGCCTTTTTCCCAGTTGATAGGATAACTAGATCCTTTAAGATGCTTTCATATGTAACCTTAGATGTATTCTTTGACATTAAATGGTTGACTCTTCTTTCACAGATTCAACTTCTTAAGAGTTACTGATAGTTTGTTATTTAACTTGTAATTCATTGAGGTTGGAACGTTGGTATCCCTAACGGTTTTTGCTCATCGTAGTTTGTCTTATCTTATAAGCGACATGGCTAAAGAAGCTTTTAATGATGCAATGCTAAACGAAGACATTTCTCTAGCTTGGCACATTCCATCTAATCTACAGGATGCTATACTTTTTGCTCTCAGAATGGAAAATGAAGCAAGAGTATCACTTAAGAAGGCCTTAGCTCTTGAGGCCAAAAAGAACAACCGATGGACAGTTACCTTTCCTCTTTGATTTCCCCTTGTTTGTCTGTGTGTTGTTTTGTTTAATATCACTATAGGGAAGGTTATGACTAGATAATGCTATATTAA